TGTGTGTTTTTTTTTATATATATATATGTCGATCTAAATAAGCATATTCGGATATTCATCGACATCCTATTTACCAGCCAATAATAACGAAGTTGACAAAGCCACCTAAAATCACTGTTTTTCGTTACTTCCTCCTGACAGAGACTTTCGAGCACGTCCTTCCCATGAACATCCATTGTAACCAAAGCTTCTAATATTTAAGAAATATCGATAAGTATCAAAAAACGATAAAATTTTCATAAAAATCAAAAATATTATTGTGCATTAAATATCGAATCCATTTGATTACCTAATGAAATACGATTCTGCTTCGGTAGCTTCCCTCTTATTATCGATATGATGTCATTTAATTCTGTTTGACTTTGATTGAAATAATCAAGTAGACCGTCAACGCCACGTAACATCCCTTCTTCGATTTGTTGAGTCCAATACATTTGTCCAACACAGAGAATGGTTTGTCCAGGCCAATCTAAAACCCATGCCACTCTTTCCTTTATGAAATAAGCATCTAGCGCATCTTTTACGACTTGCCGTATGCTTTGTCGCATTAATCTTTCCAGTTCGATCAACCATTTCTCGACTTGGCCTCTTGCTGCTGTAGTTGATATCGTATTTATTAAAAGTACCTCTTCGTCTTGGGATGATATCATTGCTAGTACATCGAGTTCTTCGTTAAACTTTAACTTGGCTATTCCTTCGAAACACTTCTTCAAATGTGGCTGAACTCTATATCATATTATCAATATATTTCAGCGTTATATGACAAATATCCGATCGTGTAAGCGAAAATACTTACCTCATAGGGTCTTTGGTCTCCGAAAGTATTTCTAATAACTCGTCATTCGACAAGAAGAAAAAACGGGGAAAGAATAATCTTTTCTTCTCTAAATAATCATTAAGACCTTTCTGAATTAATTCGAGGAAGGCAAAACTCTTCTTCAACCTTTCCAACATTTTATCTATTTCAATGACGGTTAATACGCGAGGATCGGCTTCTACAGTTTTCATTATATCACGCCACGTTTTGTCAACTGCTGAAAATTTTCGGCCTTCCTCCGGCATTTGCTGCTGAATATCGGGAGATGAGAAGATCGGTTCTAAATACATCCAGATGGATTGAACTTTCAACCACTGATCCAAAATATCTTCTAATAAATGTAGCTTGTGTAACCATTTCCTGTTAGAAATAGAGAAAATTATGAAATTATACACGTCTCCTTTCATCGCGTGTGATTTTATTGAAACTTTATAAAAACAATAGATAAAAGATCGAACGTACAGAATTCGTGGCTCAAAAGGTTTGATTTGAGGCGAATTTCTAATAGTAATCGCTTTCATGATATGATCATCGAGTAACAATTGTATCTCGTCAACACTTGCAAGCACATACGTGCCAGTGTCCTTATAAGGATTGATAGTAAAAGCCAAATCTAACCATTCTTTTTCCATCTTATCCATAGCCCTCTCTAAATTGTTCTCCTTGGTGGCACCCTCGGATATGTCTTCAAACTGATCAATATATCTGTCCAAATGCATATCAAGTATTTTTTCAAGTGTTAGATCGGCATCAAATTTTATAGGAATATCGATAATATTCGAAATTTGAATCCAATGACGGGCCTTTAATCCAGGATTACCGAGTGTCAAGATTACAGGCATACGATCTTTAAAATCTTCTATTCTTTCGAGTACCGTAGCGGCTAAATTTCTAGATTCAGGCTCTAGAAAACTTTTTTCCAGCTTATAAATCGATCTATAAGCTTGGTCAACTTCGTCGTTAATAATTTCTGGTTCGTAACTACCGATCATGGATTTTATCCATTGGTCGTATTTGATAAGGTATTCGCAAGTAGTATCGAAGAGTCTCTTAAAAGGTGCTAATCGATCAGCAATTTTTTTACGAAGCGGATATTGAGTTATCTCCCAATCAAAGGATGTCTCTTCCTCGTTGAATTTGTCGATCTTTTCCATAGCGGCGATCAACTTATTCTCCAAGGTCTGAGCCTTCTTTTGATATCGAAACACCTCATCGATGTCTCCCCAATATTGTACGTCTTCCACCTGTTCGGCATAAGCTTCCAATTCTTCTTTAAATTTTTGATATCTAACTGTTCGAAAGGATATAACGAAAATTGCATTAAAAATTAACGCGAATCCTCTCCTTTTATTACGAGTTTTACAAGAAAAACGTGACTATCCTGTATTAAGTACGAGTTTAGAAAATGAAGATTATCATGAAAACTTGAAAGAAAATTAAAAGCGCACCTTTAAGAGCGTCTTGAAATTCTTTAATCTTATTCTCAACCATCGATCGATTATCCTCTAGAATCTCGGGAATCTTATGATACCATTGGAAGGCAGTGTTATTCCTATTTATTTCTTCTTTCGTCAATAAGTGATAGTTCGAAAGAAGAAGAATGTGATCCATTATTGTCTGCAGTTTATCTTCTAAATTCGTCAGCGTGATATCTTCGATTTTTCTTACATAAGCAATTAACTCCATTAAAATGGAAGTGTTTGCTGGTTGACTCAAAATATTATCCGTTATTGTCTTATATTCTTCTATAATGCTAAATTCTAAATATTAGAACCTTTCCAATCGATATTTTTTAAAACATATATTATACATAAAATGAAGGACATACTTTTCCCCGATAGTCTGATATATAGTAACTAAATGATTAATTAGTGCGTCTTTGAAATCATTAACTTCATTAACTAAAAATTCGATGAATGTCTTGAAAGAGATTTCAAAAAATTCTTCGAATATGGTCTTTTCTATTTCTAACGGTATATTTATTGCAAGTTTGTGATAGAATTCAATCTTCTCTTCGTAATTTTTTAAAGTATTCATTTGATCTGCCAGAAAAAGATTTACAGCTTCCTTTTCTTGATCGTCGTAAAGATGCATATACCTGCGATATCGAAAGATTAGAAGATCTATTTTTAAAGAGAAGCGTATATTATTATATTAATTACTCGTTCAGTTTCACTAAATATTCTTCCGGAAGAAGCCTTAATCTTTCAATCAAATCGCAAATTTCTTTTTTCGATTCTTCGATCATAGTCTTTGATATGTTCGGCTAGAAGAATAAAAAATTATAGCGATTTTTAGATAAAATAACAGTCTCTCCCCCCTCTCCCTCTCTCTCTCTCTCTCTCTCTCTCTCTCTCTCTCTATCTGTCTCTTGAATACCTTAAGAAATGTATGCGGACCACCCCAGTCGAGATAAAGTTGAGTTTCGAGTCTTTCGAAATTTTGCACTGCCTCGCAAAAATTGTCTAAAATATTGCAAAATGTTTCTTTAAATTGTTCGAACGTCGGTTCGAATACCAAGTTCCTCGATTTTATTACTAAATTTATTTTAAAACTAGAAGTGGAAGGCTGTTAAATAAAGGAAAATTTTAGGATAGTATTTCGTAATAAACGATGGTTCTTTATATAAACCTCGTTGAAAGTTTAAAGGATGTACTTACCGCGTACGTAACGATGTATTTCATAAAATCCTGAAGGGTTTTCTCGCACACTTCCAACAGTTGAGACTCCATCAACGTTGCAGTGCAATCGAAAAATCTTTTAAAGCTCTTACGTTGCAAAGGACTAGGCACGAAATTCTTCCTATTATTCTAGAGAAATGAGTTTCGGAATTATATTTGAATAAAAAAAAAAAAAAAAAAAAAATCTTTATATATTATATAATGAAAGCAATCGACGTTATTTCACCTCGAGATATATATCTTGTATACCAATGTACCAAGACTTGTACAAACTGCGCTTCGCCTTAGCGATTTGTCGAAAAATTAAATTCTGAAAATCTATTAAATCCCAACTCTCTTTATGCGAGGCAATGCCTTTCGAGTCAAACAAGCGAAATGTCCTGAAAAATAGATGTGGATGTATCAGATAAGTGGAAGCAAATCCGTAATTACGTACTCGTAATCGACAATCCATTGTTCTAAAGTCATTCTCATGCATGGATTTATTAAATGTATGCTCTTTTCCAGAATATATCTGTATCGTTCGATATATTGAGTATCGACTCGAACCATTGGGGTTTCATCCTACAATACAATCATCGTCAGCAATTTTCAACATTAATGCTTCCCTCGCAGCGCGAGACATGAATAATCAGTTAAATTTATCTGAAAACCTTGTAACGCAGATTTTCATCGTAAGGATACAACAATGTTGATTCTAATACGGCCCTCTTTATATTCATCGAAAAATCTTCTTCTATTTCCATCAACAATTTATTCGTGTAATCGACGAATCTGTTGAGCAATTTACGCGGAACTAGGCTCAATATTTTATTCAAAACATCCTCTTGAACTCGCGCGATCTGAGTCGTATCGGCACCGTAATGGATATAATAATAATATTTATTCATACTTTTGTCAATCTGTAAATCCTCATTCATTTCCGATAATTCCGGTTTCATTATTAAACCGACTAAATATCTATGAACGAGAGAGAACAAACGATTCTATTGCGAAAACAAAATTTGATCCTATAGAATTTTATCGACTTACCGACGAAACTTTTCCCTTTTAAGTCGACGCATCGTGTACGATGTCTTTCGTACGTTGGTTTGTTCAGTTTTTTTCCTTTTGAATTTCGTACAATCGATCAATTCTTTCGGTAAATGGAATAACGGTTCTACTTTGCTATCCATCAATCTAGACATTTTAAAAAATTCGGTGGATTCTCTCTTTTGCACTTTCGTATCTCGAATTTGATCGATACTTTTAATCGAGCACTTGCAATCCATTTTCTTCATATTTTATTCCGACCAACAATTATTTGCGAGAGAAAATGCAATAACGTTTAAATCATTCTAATTAAATGATTTTATTTCAAACATACGTACGTATTGGTAACTTTAGTTCAAACTTTGTACACTTATTGTCTCGAGGGCGTTGCCTATGCTCTTACTTTTATCACGGACAAGGTACGGTGAGCGTCTTTATCCAAATAAATTTTAATTTATCGTTTGTTAAAAAATTACGATCCTCTAATAGTCTTTCGCAGGTGTTGCATGATGATCTTTTGAAAATGATCTTTCTTTATTTCTATTTAGAATATTTCTCCTCTATACGAACTCGATATTGAATACAGGTAGAAGCAACGACTTCAATTGATTTTAGTTTCCAAGCAACGAAAATCATTGATCCGTAAGAAAGTCATAGATTAATTAGTCTTTTCGGATTTATAAATTTACGATTTAGCTTTGGATCATTTCATTATTTCATAAGACGGACTTTTCGTTACCTCCTAAATATCTTAAGAGATTTTATAGGTTAAGTTACTTAAATACCACCTGGCTTTTCTTACCTTTCATTTACTCGTTAATACTTAATATTTGGCAATTTCAGATGATCTCTAGCCGTATAGTTCGATTCGTTCATACAAACAGTTTGCTATGGCAAACCTCAAATAAGTCGCTTCTAGCAAAACTAAGGAAGAAAACTGGATATACTTTTGCAAATTGCAAAAAGGCATTAGAATTAAATTCCAATGATATTGCAAAGGTATTATAATCCGTAAGAAATATAAAATACTTTTGTACTCTCTGATTTTATTACCTTACAACAGAATTTTTTAGTTTTTCCTTACTGTAGGCAGAAGTATGGCTGAAAGAGCAAGCTCAGCAGCACGGATGGATTCAAGCAGCAAAACTCCAAGGTAGATGTACTACTCAAGGTCTGATCGCAGTGATCGTAGAAAAAAATTACGGTGCACTCGTAGAAATAAACTGTGAAACAGATTTTGTTGCGAGAAACAAAAAGTTTCATGGTCTAGCAGAAATTGTACTGGCAGCAACATTGTGCCATGCAAGGACATTGAATAGTAATAACGAAGTCGAGAGATTTTCATTGGACACGGATACTTTAAAAGCATTACCTGCGAACGATGGAAAGACTTTAGCCGATCATTCTGCCTTGACTATAGGTACTATCGGTGAAAATATAACTTTAAGGCGAGCTTTATGTATGCGAGTACAGGGTGATGCAGTAGTATTCGGAGGTACGCATCCAGCTCCTATGAATCCTATTCCTGTATCTTTTGGAAGATACGGAGCATTAATAGCCGTCAAAGGTAAAGAGGATAAAATGATACTTGGAACTCAACTTTGTCAACACATCATTGGTTCGTAGACATTTTTCGTAGTCGATTAAAGTAAATATCTATTAATAGTAAATACATATTCTTTTTTTATCTTAACAGGTATGAATCCAATCAAAGTAGGAAATAATACAGTGGATCAGCCAAACATCGATATGGATAATGAAATCTGTTTAATATATCAGGAATTTCTATTGGATCCTAGTCTTTCGGTACAACAAGTTCTAAGGGATGCACAAGTAGAAGTCTTAGATTTTGCAAGATTCGAAATAGGCGAAAAACTAAATGGAAATAAGTTGTTAGATTCTGTCGAAGTTTGTGGTTAATATTAAAATCGAATGATAAAAAGTAAATTCTTCAATATAAATTTTTCATAATTTACAAATATTTCTACAGTCGATCGCGCTTCAATTACTTTTCCATATCAAATAATATACTTTTTACGAATCTGCTTGATCTCAAAAGTTTGAAATAATAGTTAGAATGTTTACTTTATCAAAGAAAAGCTTTTACCTGAACATATTAAAAAATGGATCGAATCGTAGATGTATATATAACTAACGTATGAAAACTTGTTATTTTATGTTTTTGAATCGAACAAATTTATAAATATTATAAAACGCTTTATTAAAGGCATATTAAAATATATCGTATATATTAATAAGCAAGATCTTTGTTAAATCATCAATATTTCTGCGAGTGTAAATAAATATAAAAAAAAAATATATATATATATATATATATATATATATATAAATTATGATTTTTATCAGGTAATTTTTCTCATGGAAAAAGTACTATAAATTTAAATTTCTTCTTCATTGAAATCTTTTGAAATTCTGCTCCGATATACATAGATGCATAGAATGTTCTGGCTGTTGTTGATTATTCGCACGCTGTCCGGACTTCCAAAGCCACATTCGTGAGTCTTTCTTCCAATAACGTGCGATATCTTTTGATGCATATTTTGTACCCTGTTATCAAATTATATACGTATAAATTAGTAATTGAGAGAACAAAAAAATTCTTAATGTATATAACGACATTGCCTGAAATTTTAAAATTTCAGGACCCTGAATGACCAAACGAAAGGATGGGATCTCTCTAGTTTGAAAGCCTGTGATCATATTTTCAGTTTCGTGATCATATAGAGGATCAGTCTGTACATCGCACGTTCTTTGAACTAATTCCGTACTATTTTTAGAATTAACATCTAAGTTCAGTTGTTCAAAAGCAGACGTAAAACTTTTCGATTCTTTGCAATTAATGAAGCTGACCTATCATCGAAGAAGGCAATTTGTCAAACTTATCTGAATTTATAACTGAAAGATACAATGAAGATTTTCGATTGATCGAACCTGTACTTCTTTGGAAGAAACGCTGCGACCAAGGTTACCGGCCAAACTCACTTCACTTTTCGTTCTGGATAAAAAGTTACTCTCGTTCCAAGAAAAATTGTCTACTGTTCGCGAAGAAATAGATGCGCGTTAAAAATTTGTCATAGCGTAGCATTAACGTGTCGAAATACCGTCGAAGTAGTCGTTTTCCTCGTTTTGCCAGTCCATCGGACCTTACTTTGTACGCCGTTCGATTATGAAACCCTACATTTCTTCCTATCCAAATGGACCAAGATGGTTTCTCACTATTTTCTCGCTAAATGTTCTTCTTAACAGGATCCATAACGCAATTCTACTGTTTTTTCTTCTTTTTTATATTCAACTTCGAGGAATGATTAATCGACCAACAAAATCGCTCAAAGACCTTTCCTTTGTTTTAGAAAACCGAATGAAATTAGAAACGCGATCCATATCTACTTATTGTAATTATTTAGGCGAATATTAATTAATCGCACCTACCTAGATCAGCAAGACTTTATATTTTGTCGATAATGTAGACTGCGAACGTTATCTATTAACGTTATCCATTGGTTGTTCATCACCTTTCGCTTGAGGTATGTGTGTGTGTGTGTGTGTGTGTATATATATATATGTGACATCAGCGCGCAAGTGAACTACAAACGTAAGCTGGAACACACTGTCTCTACCGTATCTCTAGCGTATCAATGTATAAACTTGTGTAATTTATATCTTTTTTAAGTGCAACATAACAATCGGGTTAGTGTGAGTTAGTGTTAGTAACTCATACCTTTCAGCCGCTCGTATTTATATCCTTATTTGATGATATCGTGCCTGTTACAGTGATTCGTGTAAGATACGATGCAGCGCCGGTATGCATTTATTTTACGATATAAATGCATAATGAATAATAAATGTAATTGTTACATGCAATAACTAATCTATAAATCTGCAACAAAAAAAAAATAAGATTATGTCGAATATTTTCTAAAAAATAATAATTTGCGAATATTTATACATCGAAAATTATTTTATATAAAATAAATATATATATGCATTTCTTCTATCTTTTCATTTTCTTGTCGTTATTCTTATTGTATATATTATTGTATTATATATTATTATTATTATAGTAATAGTAATAATATAATATAAAGTGGACTACTGCTATAGGGAAAAGCACAAAAAGAAATAGCGCAATGAAACCGCTCGAAAATATATAGCCATTCCCCCGGTAGTACTTGCATCGAATTTAATTTCGATATATCACAAGTAGTACCGACACAGGTCTCACCACATGGAGATTGTTGCATCTGGAAATCCATGAACTGACTCTACTTTAAAATCTATCCTATTAAACGTGAAGATGACTGCTGTTTTTTGAAGAAGCTTTATTTTTACGCATGAACTGTTCGAGAAAGAACAACATTTTTTAATAAGACTTTTTTGAAGGAAAATAAAGCATTTTCGATAATTATAATAAATCATCTCCTCGTTTAAATCTTTATCTTTAAAATGAGACACTGTTCATCAAAATCGGTCAAGGATTATTACGTCTAGACGTAAGCGTGAATCATAATAAAAATGGAGACGACGAACAGCGTAATAAAAAAAAATTCTTTATCCCCAAGTGGTAGGCAAACCGTTCCTACAGACATGTATGTAAGAAAAAGTTGCCTATGTTCAAGGGTTATAAAATTTCTGATTAGTATATAGTTATTTAATTCCGAAAAAAATCATGATAAATGTTCATTATGTACATATGGACGAAATGTAAACAGTAATTCTAATTCATCATTAAAAGAGCTTTTGATCGTGACTTTGAATAAGATAATCGCGAGTAAAGTCGAACAGGTACGTTCAGGTGAGTTGAGATGAAATGAATGCACCAACGCCATCGAGGCTATGCCCGCATGGTTCTGCGTGTATTCACCAAGTTACCCGTGTGTTACGGCTGGCCGATCAGAGTTCCGGACCCACTTCCGGACGAGTCCGTACCGGTATGGTTTCTTTTTTAGCCACGAATGTGCAGTATCAGTTGTTCCGCGTACAGTTAAGCGTCGTTTCGCGTGAGAGCTATCACGTTATCCTTCTTAGCGCCTTTAACCAATCATTCTTCAATTTTTCACCAAAAAAATAACATTAAACGGCTCTACCTTAAAATTAAATGGCACAAGGACGTGACGACAAAGGAATAAAAATGGATTTCGCTAACAATAAATGGGTGAGTTAGAAATAATGATCCATGATTCGTTTACAAAGAGACGACCATGGCTTTGCCTTTTTGCTTCTTCCCTTTTCCGATTTCGCCTATATTTCTCTGTATTAATTTCTTTTCGACTTGATAGCGAATCTGCAACATATTAAGAAAGGATTCTATGATTATTATCTGAGCTTAAACAAAGAGGAATCAGTTAAAGCATACGAATAATCAGATAAGAAACTGAACATTTCTACGGGCACATTATATTCTACACCCAAATGAACAATCTTTCAATTTTCGACGGTGCTTTCTCTTACGTGCGATGTTAAATATATTTTGTTTTTACACGAAGAATAAATTATTATAAAGGCTAAAAAAGAATTGTGCCTTTCTATCTCGGATAGAAAGAAAAAAAAAAAAAAGAAAATTATCTTTTCACCGACGTAGCTGCGTGTTGTTGCGAAAGAAAGGATGCGCGTTAAATCCGTCGTGCTCGAGAGAACACGAATTTCTATGTTTTCGCGTAACTCGATGCCAAAGAAGAAGACGAAGACTACGCAAACGATGTAGTAGGCGTACGTAGAACATGGCCGTTATTTCCTGCCAGAAATGATTGTCGCGAACGATGCTTAAGCAGCAGTCATTTAAGTCCATAAGTATATATACTTATATATGCAAGTATTACATATGTAAGTATGCATGTATAATAGTACATGCAAATATAATGATGTTACAAATTAATGTTACGTTGAGTAACAATTTTAATCGCGTGTTAGATTATTCCTTCCTTGATATCCTTTTGATTTTCTTTAGAATCTGAATATATTTTCTGCATCTGTAAAACGAAAAATGCAAAAATGTCGGTCGTGCAAAACGCAATGATAATTCTAAAAAGTTTACACAAGCGGATGTAAGGTACAATGCATGTGTGTCAAGCGCTCGCAACGGCACATTCATCGAGCATCTGTCGCGTTAATAAAGATCAAACTTGTGGAAGAGTTAATTAAAGAAATACGACAAGATTTCGAATCTTCCAACTAACGACGATAACGATTTATCACTACAGGTCGTAGTAAATAAGTAGAAATACCGGTACGAGCATTAAAATCTAAATGCATTCATTCAATAAGTAAAATAACGCCAACTAATCGTTAGCAACAGTTGTATAAGAGCACGTGCTCTCTCGCGGAAATGCATATAACACGTTGGTATGAATGAAAACTTCGAGTACACAGGAAATCAAAGGCGACGAACTAACTGCGTGTGCGTGCGAGTACCAATTCGTGCGTCAAGTGGAGAATGCGTCCGATGTCACTTAAATTATGTAGATTGTACAGATATACAGAGTGTTCCTACAAAATTTTATGAAACTAAAGAGAAGGCCTAAAAATGTTTCTCTCTAAATTTACAATCCTTCGAACATGCCGTCGAACAAAAAATCGAAATTTTACAATCTTATTAGATATATTAGACGTATTTAAATCATTAAAAAAATTTACATTAAGTAAGATTTTTAACGTAAAAATGTCAAAGACTTTTTACAAATAATATGTTCGAAATTAAAAATTATTTTTATAAGTATTCTTATATACGATCATCTTTATCAATAAATTGATTAAAGATTTTTAGGAACGTCCTGTACATAGACGTAGACCTATATGCATAATGATCTTAGAAAAGGCAGAAACAAACACGAGACAGGGCATATAATCACGTACGAACACGATCATATGGATTACCTGAGAACGTACTCGTTGGATCCTAACTAGAGGATCTCGCTCTCGTGAGTTCTCATACCCCAGTTTTCTGACAGCGATCGTAGTATACGGATACCGGTCCGCGTTTCTCCGCGTTGCGAAATGCACGAATATTCAACGAGAGTTAGAAAGAGTATTGCTAGATTGTAGGGAAAGATTCGTACACTTCTTAATTCGTATGACAAGGAAATGATAATGAAAAAGTCTTGTCGTTCTTAATGTCTTTCAAAAATCTTCTTGCAAATTTCAGAACAAATAATTTCAATTAATTAACGAATTCGAAAATTTATCCGGAAAGAAAGCTCAATTCGTTAACCCAGAATGATTTTTAAAAACTACGCGCGTATATTATCGATGTTTTAATAATAAACTAACTACAATCAACGAAATAGCACGTTTATTCGAAATAAAGTCGATAGTTATTGCGAATTTTCTCCGATAGGAAACGTTCAAACTCTTCGAATGCATAAAATCTTGTTGCTGATAACGATAAGCAAAACACTAAATGTTTGGTACCGATTGTTGACCGGTTAATATCACGCTTTCCTAAACATACCGTTACTAATTATAGTTAGGGTGAACAATTCAACTTCCTGTACTTCGCCTCGCTTCGTTGTATCGCTTAAAAAATCGGCCGTTTCCTCTTCATTCGACTCGTTTCACGAAGAACTTTCACCATAATCCTTGTAAAATATGTCAAATGCCATTGTGGTTTATCCGGATCTATCAAATATGTTCGTGCAGGATGAGAGAAGTTGCCGTTCCGACGATTCGTCTGGTGATATCTTCAAGAACGTACCAAAGGATAGCAGTACTTTCCGAGTCTGGAAAATTGAGGTATTTTTATTCTAATCGATATTAAATATCTTTTCTATGCCGAATCTGTAAAGTGTAAATTTTATAAATCTTCATTGCAACGATCGACAATTCCTTACCAAAAAGAAGAAAAAAAGAAAAAAAAAAAAAAAAAAAAGAAAGAAAAGAAAAGAAAAGGAGGAAAAATTGGATGATAAATTTAAATATCATTTTTGTCTACAGCAAGGTTTACGTGCCACAGCTGTTTCAACAAATAACATAGGATTTTTCCTAACGGAATCAGCCTATATTATTTATGCAGTATCTTCCAAAGATGGTCCTCTGCCGTATCCTGGAATGCCGGTAATTGAATAAAATAATCGTGCAACTTATTGTTAATAACTTATAAAATATCACGCGAATTTTAATCGTTTCGATTAGATAAAGGATTTAAAAGGAGTATCTTCGATACGTGCCATCCATTTTTGGATTGGATCCAGTTGCGATGCTACGATTTCCGGTGCCGCAGCCTTACGTGCAGCCGAATTAGATTCACAGATTTCAGCGACAATTCTATCGAGGGAGGCTCAAGAACGTGAAAGTCCTAGATTTCTTTCGTATTTTCGGCAAAGGCTCGTCATAGAGAATCTTCATTTCGAGACACCTACTTGTACGATGCACAGAGTTTCCGGAATTACAATTCCGATTTTGATCGAACTAGACAAAGTTCGTTGGGAAAATTTCACCTCCAAAGATGTGATTCTAATAGATGTTCATTCAAGGTATTTATAATCGTATTGTATGGCATTACAACTGAATTTATGATTCCATTTTTTTAATATACAGAGGTACAGTATTTCTGTGGCTCGGATCGTCTGCCGATCCGTTACATAAGAGACACGCGGCAGCTATTTTAGAAGAAAGGAAAGAGAATAATAACGACGTTCGAGTGATTATCGTCGAGGATGGCTACGAACAGACCCTTCCAAAAGGAGACAGGCACCTTTTTGCTACCGTCCTAGATCCTTCCTGTAGAACAGTGGCACCAGACCGTCTTCATCGAATCAACATACCTGCTCCTGTAAAACTCTATAAATGCTGCGAACAATCCGGAAAATATAAAGTTGCTGAACTTAAGTCCGGTCCGATCTTACGTACCGATCTCACTTCTGGATCCGTATATCTGATAGATCGTGGAGAGACTGGTGTTTGGGCCTGGGTTGGACGGGACGTTAACACTCGAGAAAAGCTAGAAGCTGTCCGAAACGCTCGTGGCTTCGTAAAGAAGAAGAATTATAGCGCGACGATACCAGTTGCTAGAGCTATCCAAGGTTATGAACCAATCGAAATGAAGGCTCTGTTGAGAGGATGGGAACCCTCCAAGATGAGACCATTAACATTGCCACCTACTTTTGAACCCGATTACATGAACGAGAGACCCAGAATGGCAGCCGAATGTCAATTGATTGATGATGGTTCTGGTGAGAAAACTCTATGGAGAGTTAATCAGAAGGAGGGTATGATTGAAGTCGTTGACAGAGCAATTTACTATGCCGAGGCATGTTACGTTATGAGATATAAATATGGCCACGGTCGTAGGTGCAGAACGATAGTGCGTATCTCTCTCTCTCTTTCTCTCTGATTTCTTTTTCAACACATAGAAGATCTTACTTCCCCAAAAACATATAATGTTATCTTTTCTAAAGGTATACTGTTGGGAAGGTGTTCATACTATAAAATTTGACAGAGAGGCTGCTTTGGATATGGCTTGTCGCATAGCTGAAGAGGAGTCTGGTCAATTGATAAAAGCTTCTCAAGGCAGGGAGCCACCACATATGTTGCAAATATATAATGGCACATTGAAGATACTTGCTGGACGTCATCGTGATTTTCGTAAGCATCGTCTAGAATGTCAGCAACGGAAACATTCGTAAACTTCAATATTTAGCTGTTCTCGTTTCAGCGCCAGAAAAATATCTTGTAAGGGTATTCGGATCGACGCCGTACACATCGAAAGCCGTTGAACGTCCTGCGAGATCCAGTAGTTTAGATTCTAGCGGTGTTTTCATACTATTCTCATCTAATCCAGTTGTCTGGTGTGGTGCTAGAAGTACCGGTGATGCTAGACAAGCTTCTCGACGTCTTGCACCGAAAAATGCACCACTCGTTTTAGAGAGTAAAGAAGGCAACGAATTCTGGGCAGAGCTGGGAGGTAAAGATCTTAATTTAATAGGTGTTTAAATTACTCGTATTGATATTCTTTTCCTTTAAGGTCGTGGAACGTACGGCACAGAGGTTGCTGAAAGCGAAGAGGAACAGGAGAAACATCTCTTTCGATGTCAAACGGAGGGTAATATTTTTGTTGGCGAAGAAGTTCTTGGCTTTGGACAAAGTTCACTTATTCCGGAGGCTACGTGGCTACTAGATGCTGGAAATATGATTTGGATTTGGTTAGGCAAACTATCAGCAACAAAATCTTTGAAAGAGTGTGTAGAAGATGCAATGATATTCTTGTACAGCCATCCGGCAGGGAGAGACCGTAATACAACAATTTCTATAATTAAGCAAGGTATGGTATATCGTCATTTCTATTAAAGTTAATATTAAATTGGTAATAATAGAAGTTGCTTACATTTCTAAAAGGGATGGAACCACCAACTTTTATAGGACTTTTTGAAAATTGGAATCATAACCTACTACGAGATTATAAATCTTTTGAAATAATATGCAGCTCTCTACAAGAGAAAGAATTGTCTATTAAGATACAGACAACCGGAAAAGTAACAACGGAATTTGATAACTTTATTAAATATCCGTTATCGGTATTGAAAAACGACGCTGAAAATTTGCCATCTGGTGTTGATGTTGCACGGAAAGAAATGCATCTTACCTTTGATAATTTTATAGCGATATTTAAAATGGAGCCTGCCGAATTTGAGAAACTTCCTGCCTGGAAGAGGCAGAGGTTGAAGCAGTCAGCAGGACTCTTCTAATCACTGCGAAAATTTCAAACTTCAATTTCCCATGTGCACATTTTATTATAAATTCATTAAAATAAATGCGTTAATCTTACTTTACTATTTGGACTTCAAATATGTATTTTCGCGATGGTTTCTAAAAATAAAACAAAGAAATCTAAAAAATTCCTCACCTATGTAGATATATATATATATATATTATATATGTAAGATTTTATTAAGGAAAATTCACAAATTTTATCAATTTAATATTAAATTAAGAGCAGACTCTATCTTCAAGAAGAAGTATCCATTGGTTCAGCTTCCACTACACGAACTGTTTCTTCTTCTATAATTATAGGACGCACAGTTTTAGTAAGAATCGCAGTAGTTCCCTTTTTATATCTATAAGACGCTTGACGTTCTCCTTTTACATTGGCTATATCATAAGGACGCAGATAATCGACAGATCCTTTGCGTATAACGCACAAATCTACATTTGAGCCAGATGCTAAGTCATTGAAAACACCCGCTCGAATAGCATCTGCAACCAACCCTTTGGCTTCTTCCTCCTATTAAATATATTAATATTTAAGATACAAGTGTTTTAAGATACAAGTTGAAAATTTTGAGTTTTGATTAAGAAAAACAAATTGTATACCGTCAGGTCAGGCTTCCATCTACTTTCAAGTACAGCCATTGCAGCTAATGATCCCGAGCCCATACTGGTGAACATATATTTTTCACTAGATCCATGAGGAAAAATAGCATACAAATGTGGACCGTCTAAATCAACACCACCTAACACCAAAGCTACACCAATATGACCTTGATGCCGAAACAAAAATTGTTTGAACATTGAATTGGCAGTGCAAACGGGTACAATACGACCAGTGTTTAAACGATGTAATTCCAATTGACTAGCAATCATTTGACAAGTCATCTCATTATCCGCTGCAGTTCCTGCTCCGCAACAGCTGAATCAATACAATGATTATTGCATTATTGCATCTTAATTAATTTAAAACTGAAGATATATATTCTATTCAACAATTGATAATTTTAATAATGATTGTAACAGTTTACTTACTACATGTTCTGAGCAAGGTAGTGAATTTTTCTAGAATTTTTATCTGCCACAATAGAATCTTCGGTGGCACGTGTATCACCCCCAAGAACAACTCCATCTTTGAAAACAACTCCTGCAATAGTAGTACCTGTCTTAATAGCGGACGGAGCCTTAAATCCTTTCTTTAATAAAAACTTATTCCTGCAAAAATAAATATTCGACGTTACAAATTAAATCTATTCAATATAAAAATATAGATAATAAGTAAATACATAAAAAAAAGTGTTCTTATGTTTTATAAAGAGCAAAGCGTTTAAAATGACACAGCAATATTATTCAAATTAAGGTTATGTATGCTGTGAAGTAAATATTTACGGCAAATTTGGCTGACAATTTGTTATTTGAAATATTATTTCCTTACCGCTGACAGAGATCGAAAGAAAATCCTGGAGCAGGAATTTCGGGTACAAGGACAGTAGACATAATGTACGATAAAACGAGATCGATTCAAGTCAAATCAAACAGTAAGCAAAATTCGGAACAACTAGTTAAATTCATGTATTGTCGACAGGATCGCTAGTATCGCTACCGTAATTTAAACACAATAATAAACGTTTTCATCAATTATATAAAATCTATGGATATTTGATACGCCAATGTTTTTTATAAAATCAATCACATCTTATTAACTAAACATATTCTATAGCTAGTCTTGACTTATAAATAATAATGCATTTAAATAACAAAGTATAATAATTTTTTTTATCTAATGAGGAAATTGAAGAATGAAGGAAAATATTTTTAATAATTTTTGATAAATCCATCGTACCTGTAAATATCATTATTATTATGTAGAAAAATGTCTTATGGCTAACACGGCTTAAATAAAGCCTGTATACAAACTATTTTATTTTTACTAGATACTGTCTCAAGCAGTAAACATTTTAACTTAACGAATAAATATGGCGTAGTGTCAAACAGTTGAACAATTCCTGCTACGCAAACGCAATGCGCCGTCTTAAATACTTCTCACTCCAATAAATATTAATTAAATATATTATTAATTGGGATAATGAAAATTTAAAAAACGTTTGAATTAAATAATTAATCAAAATAAAATTCTGCCACAGTTCGTAAGCTCTTGCCAAACATACGTATCTTCTCTCCACTTTCTACTACACACGTCAAAAAATAAATAATTAATAAATCGAATAATAAACAAATTTATATCTATTCATTATATATTTTCCTCATAAATATACTGAAAAAATAATATTTTGCAAAATTTGTATTTATAAAAGTATTTAATAATAAATTCATTATTTAAATAAAATATGATTCGATAATAGTGGAAAATCATTGGAAATATTCGACTGTTCTCTAGAAGAAGGAACGAACAATGAAAATGATTAAAATTAATTTATATTCTAGGTACGTTAATAGCTATATAATATTTAAACAAATGCAGTAATGTTTAAATAATAGTTAATTGCACTACAGCAAAAAACAAATGTTATACAATGTTCTTATGTATTAAGATCAGAAAACATTTCTCTACGTTTAAATAATTAATATTTATCGATTATTTTGCATTTATTTAAATCATTTTTAATATATATGTTTATTATTATTAATTAAGTATAATTAATTAATACTTAAACAATACTGGATTTGTTTAAACGTTAAATAGCTATTAAACCAAATAAGGCTAACTTCTCTACATTTCGATTAGGCTATTCTTATATTTACATTAATTTAGATAAAATCCCATAGTCTTTTCCGTATTCTCAAATTGCATTAGAATTAAATAATGATCATCATTTGATTTAGGTTAAATCTTATGTCTTGTTTTAACAGGAATATGTGAAGTAACATCGTGATTTTTTTTATAGGTTAACATATGTTCTTACAAAGAATAATATGATGGAATGTGTCGATTATTGTATATCTATGCTTTTATATACGTAAAATTTGTTGCTACCACCATTGCATAAACTTTCATATAGATGTGATTTATTAAAATTAATTTCAATTCGTTATTATTTAAATTCTTGTATGAAGAATGAGGCGCAATTACGATTAGACGTTTTGAGTCACCTAGCTCCACCAACTCGATCTCTAGGAATCAACCTTAGTTCAGAGCCATGTTTAAGAAACACGTTACCTATAATTAAAATTTTATTGTCAGAAGGTAAAGCTTGTTGGAAAATCTTTGTTCATTTTAAATACTTGCCTGCAGTTTGCTGTGGATTAATACCAATTCCATCATCAGTTATAATAGCTGATGTTGCTGCTGCCACTTTAAATTCTTCAGCAGCAAATTTCAATACAGCAGTAAATGGTGTAGTTTCTGGTACACTAAGTCTAGAAGCGTAAATATAGAAAGCTCTATAATACAAAATAATTCTAATATGCTTCTTAGACAGAATTCTTGCAATGTACAAATTAAATACACACTTTTTTGTGTACATTTTATTAATAAGCACAAACAAATATAAATATACGAAAATATATTATAAAACCTAAAGACAAAATTTGTTGCAAATAAATGTTTACTGTTGTACATTTTATTTATACAGAAATCATTATTGTGCAATATCTTTCTCAATGCTATGCCATACTGTACAATCTGGTTGCATCTTAGCCAATTGTAGTCTACTATGTACTATCTCATGAACTACATTAGGGCCATTTAATAATCTATCCATAATTTTAAGTAAATCGTTATAATTAAATGTTGAATCTAATATCCATTCATTATTTATTTTTGACATATTCCGTCCAAAATAAAATATTGTATCTACAAAATTGATACAGAATTCAGAATTATCCTTTAGGAGGCTTAGAAAAAATTTCTCTTCGATATTTATTAAAGCCAAACAAAATAATACATCATTTTCAATGACTTTACAGGACAAACACTTCATAAATAACATCTTCAATTTGCTCTTATTATGTAAATTTATAAAAAGGGGAATAAGTCTGGAAAGATGACCATCTACTAATATTTTTGTTATTTTTTGCGATACCTCCATCTGCTGACCATTTTCAAGATCATATTCCCATGACATAATCAAAGCTTCATCTTCTATTTTAGACATGGACAAGCCTATATCTTCCAAAGACTCTAATATCATATTTGTACATGTAGAGTTCCTCAGTGTACACAGCAAAAAGTTATTCAATCTATCTATCCCAAAAGATTGAATGTACAATTTTAAAAAATCATCAATAATTGTGGTAGAAATAGAAGTATCTTTCATGTATATTTCTAATAATTTATCACAAGCACACTTTAGATCGTTACACTTATATATTTTAGTTTTCTTTTCTTTAACCCAATGCTGGCGAAGATAATTTTCCAATATATCTTCCATCTTTTCATTATATGCTTTAGTTACTGTAGCCTCAATAAACTTAGCACATTCAAAAGTTTTATTTACAGTCTCTTTGGTGACTTGTGTACTTATATGCGAGTTTTCCAATAATTCAAGGAATTTATCAAATACATGCAATATTTGAGAAAAATAGAGTTCTGACATGTCAATAACAATTGTAAATTTTTCAATAATAACAATTCCTCATTAACACTTTTCTGTATATAAGCGATTACAACTTATAACATTACTTACACTTTAAATGGTAATTTTGGATCCGAAGTTAGAGTTATTTTAAAAGTTACTTTAGATCTGTAAAGGAGTAAATTTTATTACTATGTATTTATCATGGATATTTAAAAATGAAAATAAAAAAGAAAGACAATACAAAACATATGTTACAAAATAAGAGTACGATAATGATATATACTATCACATATTATTTTACGAATTTCCAAAAGGTTGTAAGGATATATTTTACGATACTACTTACGTCATAATGCGTTAATAAAAGAATTCTTTTTAAGATTAAAGCAGCTGATGATGTTTCAATGTTAATCTCAAACGAAAACGTAACTTAATATAACCTCTACAGATAGATCTTGCTTCTCTCGTTACGGAGTTAGAAAGTCAGCAGGGCGAATCTATAAATATATTATATCTATGGTTGTGTATGCAATACGATATAATCGATTTCACATGTTTCGAACGAATGAAATGTATCGTTATGTCTTCTTTTAAGTATTAATTATTTTCAAGTGTTAGATTTAAAGATAATGAAAAATCAATCTACACATATATCATAACAAACGCTAGTTCAATAATGGCAACGTATCATCTATTATCGTGGGTAAATAAATAAATTATTTTTTAATGTCAAAAGAAATAATACCTGCTCTAAGAACGATAGTGTGAAATATGATATCGCGTGTGCGATTGTGAATGTACGTACGATAAGAGCAATTGATTCTGAAAGCGTGAAATAAAATAAAAGGATAAGTTTCATTGAATTTTAATATATTGTATGATATTTATAATTACGATTAATAGGACAAAATTAGAATCTTATATGAAATATTAACTGTCACGATTGGATATATTTCTCAGAATCAATTTTGCTCGTTCTATTGTATATCCTGCAAAAGTATATACATGTGTACATACGTGGCGTCCTCTACGCGGTAAATTTAAATGTTAAAGAAGTATAATAAAAAATAAAAAAAAATAGCACTTTCATTGTAATCAATTGTTTTTCTCGTAGGGTGCTAATTCTCATGGACAATTAGGGCATGGTATAAGATCGGAGCAATGCGTTCTTCCACAAGAAATTGATTTATCGTTGTATTCCTTTAAAGCAGAAGATATTCGAAAGATCGTTGGCGGTGCTGGGCATTCATTGATTTTGGATAAAAATGGACACGTTTATTCTTGCGGATGGAATAACAAAGGACAATTAGGTCAACCGAAAAAGGAAGATAAATTAAATTTCGAAAGAGTACGCGGAGTTTTAGAAAATGAAATCATCGTTGACATCGCTTGTGGATGGGATTCTTCGGCAGCATTGACAAACGAAGGAAAATTATATATGTGGGGTTCAAATAGTTTTGGACAATTAGGAATAGATCCTTTGGAGCTCCGTCATTCTTACGAACCTATCGAAACTATACCTTGCGAAAATATTGAGCAAATTGCGATGGGCTTAAGGCACACCGCTGTAATAACTCAAGATCATCGAATTCTTATGTGCGGTGCAGCTAACAAAGGACAATTAGGTCTTAAGAACGAATTCAATGATGACATAGAAAAGAAAAGCAAACATAACTATTGTCCTTTTACATATGGTAAGATATACTTTCAGTTTCAGTATCAATATTAATGTTCGTCGTGATATTTAGAAAGAATGTAAAACAGAGCAATAGGTAAAATAAAAGAATTATATAAAAAGTTCCAGAATTGAAAAATTCAATGAGTGTTTCATGTGGACAACATCATACCGTGGTAGTCACAGACAAAGCAGAGGTATATGTCTTTGGTGCAAATAATTATGGACAATTGGGTATTGATAATGAGCTTTTTCCAACTATTTCTATGCCAACAAAATTGACAAATGTGCATTTTAATCTGCCAATAGAGACGCACACAGGATGGACGCATACGATTATTTTAACCGGTATCCGCTATTTGATAATTGAGCGAAACTAACAGAATGTAAAAAAAGCATTGGGATTGTTTAACCTTTTATTCTATGCGTTGTTGCAGATAATCGGCTCTTCGCTTGGGGCAGAAATACCTATGGTCAATTAGGGCAAGAAAAAAGAGCTGTACTTTGGAAGCCAGATCTAATAGAAAACATACCTAAAATAAATCAACTTTCAATTGGTTCACAGCACAATTTAGCTCTTACTGGTAATCAAGGATATATACCATTTTATCTTATAAAATTTGATATTTTGATATTTTATACAGATGAAAAAACTGTATTATGCTGGGGTTGGAACGAGCATGGAAATTGTGGAACCGGGGACATTTTCGATGTACTATTACCAAAACCCGTTTCGTTACCGCTGCATTCAAAAGGAATCTTGATTGGTACCGGTGCAGGACACTCGTTCGCTGTGATAAGAAAAGAAAATTGTTGACATACTCGTATTACTAATACGATATACGTATGTATATATATATATATATATATATGCGCACAAATATGTAAACATTATATTATATATTGTTATTTTTGAAATGACGCTCATCGAATAAATAAATTTTATTGATGTATATTTGATAGAGAGTATGATTATGGAATCGTACAATGGTGAAGGAGGAATAAAATAAAGAAAATATAAAAACATTTCACGGAGTTAGGTCGAAGGTAGCGTAGGAGGGTGACGCGAATACAGCTGCTAGAAAGTATCACCTGTCAGTAAACAACTGTTACTACGTACGAGCGGACGAACGAAATAACCATTTTATGTAGTGTCGAAGAATTATTTAAAAAACAAGACATTTCAAAGATAGTTGAAAAGGTGACGCTTACAAGAATGTTGCGCGCTAGATCTCAGAGTAGCATTTGGTACAATTTATTTATTAATATTAATTTCTTTAACATTTTTACTCATGTCTCCCGACCTTAACGACATATTCGTATAATTATTTTCTATAATCCGATAGCGAACAGGAGGCAAAATTCGTGCACGATCGAATCACAGGCGTGGAAAAACATTTTGCCGAGTTATGCGCAATATTCGCGGCGTTTACCAGAAAGGCAGCAAGGTTCGTACGATACCCATCTATTTACTTGAAAGATATCGATTATTTTGCTTGTGTCATGCAATGTTACCATTATATATATATATATATATATATATACATAGAGGCTTCATTTTAGATTGCGAGACAAAAACGACGAAGTTGCTAAAACGATACATACTTATGCCGAATCAGAATTAATAAATCGATCCTTAAGTAATGGTCTTTTAAATTTATCCGCAACATTATCCGCTATAGGCGATTACAGGTATATTTCGTTCTGAGTAATTTTATTAGTAACATTTCAAGACTCAAAACAATTAAATTTTTCTCAGAGATGCTCAAGTTCAAAGGCTAGATGCAAAAGTAGTAGCACCGTTATCTCAGTATGCAACTATTTGCAAACACGCGCGCGACGATGTTAAAAACACTTTTTCAGCTCGCGACAAAGAACTTACAAAGAGAAAGCAACTGGATAAAATTAGAGAAAAAAATCCAAGAAATCGACAGATGATCGTATCCTTTTTCATAATATACTAACTTTTTGAGCTCGTGCCATCTCCTTTTGCATATATATCTGTCTTATATTAAAGTCCTTAGAAGCGTTATCAGTCACAAGCGGAATCTGAATTGATGAAAGCAGCCGTTGAAGTTTCTAGGGTGATAAAAGGTTTGGAAGAACAAATCGATTCTTTCGAGCGACGAAAATTGCACGACCTTAGGAACGTACTTTTGGATTTTGTTACGATCGAAATGAGTTTTCATACAAAAGCTATTGAACTTCTTACTAAGGCGTACCAGGACATTGCCGATATAAATGAGACTAAAGATCTTGAAGTAAGATCAAGAAATATTTGTAAATTCGATTAATATTCTCGAATGTATATTAGCAAAATTGTTTCACATTTCTCCTACGCAGGACTTTCAAACTGCCCGAGGAGATATGAATGGGGTAAAATCGTTTTCAATTCTATATACGCACACGTATATTTTTGCGATCGCTTTTATGTTTCTCTGATTGAAAATAATTTTTCTTTTTATATCTACAAGAATTTAATCTAATATATTTCAGGAATTTCGAGAAACTATGCGTGTACCAGATTCTATTACAAGATTGGATACAGTCGGAAGAACGTCTTTTCGACAAGCTTATTCACTTTCGAATTTGGCCAGTCGATTTACATCCTCTCCTATGATTCCGCAAAAGTCTCCTCGCGATCGAACGTCAGAACTGGCGGTAAGTAAATAAAATTCCCCGAGGTTACGTTTTTCATTGTAAATAATCAATTTTATTTCTGAAGGACTCATTGAAAACTGGTTTCACTAATTCTTCCGAATCCATACAAGTGGAAGAATATGCGAACAGTTCGGAAGAAACAGATTCTGAATCGTTTGAAGAAAAACCAGTGAGAACTAGACACAAATCTATGTGAGCTTTTATTAGTTTTTCTAATTGTTTTTATGCACTTTTAGATAAAAATATCAAAGAATTCGAAAAATAATATACGAAAACGAATTGTAGTACTCGGAATAGTACCTCCCCTTCCTACGTATCAGAAATCCTTAACTTCCCCTTTAAAGTATAGACGATCTTCTAGCATCGTCGACGAGCCTTAAATTCTTTTTAATTGGCATTTCACAACGTTTCTATTGTTATAAGTTAGTCGGTACGTTTATATGTTCATAATGACGAATAACGTAACGAATAGATTTAAGTTTAATATTTATTATGTTATGCGTTAAGAAAAACGTACTTCATGAAAAATTTTGCCTGAGAATAGCTATAGTCATAGGTGCGATAGTTATAAATAACGTAAATCAATAAAATACATTCGCGTACAAAAAAGTGCAAGTTTATTCGTATTGCGAATAAATGAATATAAATAAATATATAAATTTTGATAATTACACAAATGTTATCTTTTTGTGACGAGGTACGACGCCTTTATTAATGATTATCACTCGACGAAAAATGTCGCTCCACTTTTTTTTAAGAATGTATTAGCATATTATTTTTCACCTCCTTCAACTCCAGCTTGCGTCATGAGATCAGCTATATTTTTCTCCAAATCGTCTATTCTATTTCCCATTTCATCTAGTAAGTTTCATTAAGGATGCTTTATGAGAGAATACAAGTCTTATTAAAAAAATCTTAAAAGTATAACAAACCGCGAATATCTTTCTGCTCGTCGATACTGTTACATTGAAGGTGCTTATTTTATGACACACAAAGGAAAAGAAAATGAAAGCAAAAAAGCATTATCAGAGAGAATTTGATATTTGAATTTGGCGCGTCAAGTTATGCGAGCTATACGAGCGCGCTCTTTGCTGCGATTCTGAAGAGGTTAAATAGTGAGAAAAAAGAAAAATATACAAAAAAGATAGTTTAGGAAAGGATATTTCTTCCGGTAATTTGATCGGATATCGCTTGAAATTTGTCCTGCATATTTTGTAGCAAGGTCTGCACCTAAAAAGAAGAATTTCTAGATAGATAGTAAAGATCGTCGATTGGCCATTCGAGGATTTAGAAAATAAACTTACATATTGCGTCAATTCTTGCATATTTTTTGGATCGGCACTATTACCCATTCCATAAGCATCCACATCGTCACTTTTATTATGTTCTTGCTTAACGTCTGCCATTATTGATTAATTCTTGATTAATCGAGATAGTTAACAACGTACTACGTACAACGTACTGACGCAACCCAACTGATTTTTCTCACAGTTCGACACAAAGATTGCTTTATTAGTTCGATTTTTTCACGCGTAACGAAGAAACGACGCACGCTTTACTCTTGTTTTAAAGGAGCACCACGACGACCAGTCGTATGTAATCCCATCGATCAAACTACATGCATATTTGAGTTGTAGGAAGGAGAAAGAGGAGCATCCACCAAGCATCCATTTACTAGATATACAATATACCTAAAGGCACACGACGTGTTTCAGCCTGTCGAATAATTTTACAAAGTTGTTACATTTATTTATTATTCTTTTTAATTAGATTCTAACAAAATAGACACGTATACGTATAAATGCTTTATTTCTTTTAATTTATTTCTAAAATGTCAATTAGTCATCACGAATAACAGTCATTCGTTCTTGAACGTGTTTACATGTTTTTTATTTAAAAGAAAATGCATCATACTATCGATATTACATACTACACGAAAACTAAACGATATGAGAAACACATTACTATCTTATCGATAATATTGTCATAGGATACTATTGTCATAACGTAGCGATATTTTTGGTAAACAAATTACGTTTCTTTGTTTATTTCTTATCAGGTGAGAATCGAGTGGAACGAGAATTTCGATGAAAATTGTATTCGTGAGAAAGGACAAAATGATCAATCCATCGCCTTTGGTCACCAAGACACTCTATTGGCACTCTATTGTCTTCTCCCCACCTCCAAGATTACTTCTCAAGAGTCCCTAATGCAATCGTGTCAAATCGCATGCGTATTATCAGCTGATACTTTAACGCGCGACTGACGGAACTATCGTAGCTATATGTAATCGTAATGTGAACAAAGCTGGCTAAAGTTGGATAAAGTTTAAGCAACCCTCATAAAGGCTGTGACATTTATATCACACGTTAATCGGTCACGTTCACTCCCATTATTGTTCTATGCCAGTTAATACACGAATATCTTTCGTCGAGGTATTTTTTATCGCAGTGAAGAAGACGAGCGGAGAAATCGTTTAGTGATTCTTCAATCAGCTTTATCGATCGAATAATGCGATCCAGTCTTATTTTTCTACTCGTTGTTTTCTTTTCTTTCGTACAATTCGTCGAACTTTGGAATTTCGAAAAGGAACACAAATCTCCTATCATCTTAAGTAAGTAATTTTATTTCTTCGGATTTTATCAGCATTAATATATTTACGTTTTTCACATTCCCACTCTATTCGTTTGTATACAACGTCAACTCAAAGCTTTTGAAATGTGAATTGAAAGAATAATCAATATTAATTATAATTTTATTTAGTTCCAGGAGATGGAGGTAGTCAACTTGAAGCTAAACTCAATAAAACTTCTACAGTGCATTATCTTTGCGAGAAAGTTTCTAAAGAATATTTTAATATTTGGCTAAACTTGGAATTACTTGTACCATTGATCATAGATTGTTGGGTACGCATACGATATTACACTCTGTAATCTATTGAAATTAAAAACAGAAATTATAAACAAAAAAGTTTATAAAATTTGTTATTGCAGATCGACAATATGAAATTGATATATGACAATGTGACAAGAACTACGAGAAATCAAGATGGAGTAGATATTCGAATACCAGGCTGGGGAGATCCCTTTGTCGTCGAATATTTAGATCCAAGTAAAGCTTCTCCAGGAGCATATTTTAAAGAGATCGGAAATATGCTAGTCGATGATTTAGGATATATTAGAAATATTTCTTTACGTGGTGCTCCGTATGACTTTAGAAAAGGACCCAGTATGTAATTTCATTTATATTCCATATTTTTTCATTCTTTTTTTCTTATTATTCTATTCATTAAAATGAAGATCTCTTTTCCCAGATGAAAATGGAGAATACTTTGTTAAATTGAAATCATTAATAGAAGAAACATATTCTATCAACAATAATATGCCGATAACATTAATAGCTCATAGTATGGGTGGACCCATGGCTCTTATATTTTTACAAAATCAAACTCAAACATGGAAAAATAAATATATTAATTCTTTAATCACTTTAGCAGGCGTGTGGGGAGGTTCTGTTAAAGCGATAAAAGTATTTGCCATAGGTAGATATTTCAAAAAATTTTTCTATTTAGAAATTTCACGCGTTCGCACTAATAATATTTTGTCACAATATCAATAATTTGTTCTAAGCATAAATTCAATGTGATCGTAAAAAATATTTTTTAGGCGACGATTTGGGTGCGTATCTATTACGGGAAAGTATTCTTAAAGATGAACAAATTACAAGTCCAAGTTTGGGATGGCTCTTACCTTCAAAATTATTTTGGAAAGAAAACGAAGTTTTGGTCGAAACGGAGAATAAAAATTATACGCTAACTAATCTTCAGGATTTTCTCATGTAAAATATTTACATTAATATTATGCATTTAACTTAAATTTAAATTAAAATTGCAATATTTCTTATTAAAATATTATCAATATATTTTATAGAGATATAAATGTTCCCAATGGATGGGAATTTCGCAAGGATAATGAAAAGTATCAATTAAATTTTAGTCCACCAGGCGTAGTAATGCATTGTTTATATGGAAAACAAATAGACACTTTGGAGAGGTATACATAACATTTCTACAGTTGAAAACTTAAGTATACACGTATAAATATCGATAACATTTAAATCTTAATATTTACGTTTGCAGATTATATTATAAACCAGGTACGTCGATCGATGGACGTCCTCAATTAATTACTGGAGATGGTGATGGTACAGTTAATTTACGAAGCTTAGAAGGTTGTCTCCATTGGCAAACAAAACAAAAGCAAAAAGTCTATTATCAAGCCTTTCCCGGTATAAATCATATGACTATTCTTAAACACGCGGGTGTTTTGGAATACATTAAGACGGCTTTAACAATTTGACAAAGTGAAAATAAAAAATTTATTAATATTTAGGTATTAATTCTGAGAATGTTATAAGCAAAAATCACATAATATTTAATAATTGCTGCCAAACAAAAGATATACGAACAACTAGTGATAATAGTTGTTTATGTAATTGTCCATGTCTGTTGTAAAATATTTTTATACGTTAATAATTTTATCTTTTTAAGCACAGTTTCCTTAACATACTTATGATTTAAAATGCTTACTGCATCTTCGGCAACTATATTTTCAAATATAAAATAAGTAGCATAAAATAAACAAACTAAATAGTTCCAATTACTCTTAAGGATTTATCTCAGGTATTAGTTTTACTCTCTAGAAGTCATGATTTATTAGGATTATTTAATAAATGATAATCTTGAAATAATAAACATTCACTAAATCTTGCCATATATATATATACACATACATATATATATATATATATACACATTCTGCTCTCTTAATTTGTGTATTTCTAAATTTTCGAATAAGTCTATTAAAAATAATTATAATTAGTCATACGTCAAACAGTAGACGAAGGTAATATACAAAGAAATATTCATATTAGTTAATATAATATAAATTCTAGGTTAAAGGTGATAAAAACAATAAGTCATAGAAACATATTCCCTTTATCAATATGTTATGTACACTACCAATTTCAATTTACACTTGATCTATCTTACAATACATCTAAAGCAATTACGTATTTTAGATTAATATTTTGATAACTACAAATTGTAAAAATTATATGAAAGGTATAGAAATTAATAATAATATTGGAAAAATAAAAATTTTTATTAATGTTCGTTATATATCATGCTAATATCTTTATATATGATTTCATGTATAGTATTTTCTTTTATATTTTAGATTTGTGTATGTGTGTATGTATTTGTATATACAATTTGTCATACAATGTCAAGCATACAATCTACATAATGAATAAATACACGCAAGTATGCGAACCCGTTCCATTTATACATTATATCGCACACTTTATATTATACAATAAGTTTTATTGCACACTCGTATGTTCATTATTTCTTAACAATTTGTCGTATTTTTAAAAGAATTGTTTACCATTTTCTAAAGGCACCTATCTACAAATGACTTTTATAACATGTGCATAAAAAGTTCTGGTCAGCGCCTTCAAAGAACACAGCATAAAGGCAGCTTAGGAATGTTTAAAATTTTAATTGGTTTTTTTTCTTTTTTTTTTCTTTTTTTTTCTTTTTTTCTTTTTTTTTTCTTTTTTTTTTTTTGAGGCAATTTTGCTCAAGCTTTACCAACATTCAGAACTTCACACCAATTATCATTTACTACAGAACCAGTAATTTTCATTTATAAATCATATATCAATTTTAATTTCGGATGGAAATAGTACATTTAATGTCAGTTAAGACTTGATGTAGATTTCAGAAATGCGTACAATCCAAGAGCTAAAATTGTTACAACAGTTATAGTTTTGTAACTTCTAATGCGATAAGGTATTCTTGGAGCTGCTTTAACAATTTTAAGTCGACGTTGTCTTTCTCTTTCCTGGCGACTTGCTTCTGCTTTTGCTTTCCATTCTTGCTCCTTGCAACGTCTCTTACAATCATAATCTTTTACATCCTTATTTATTGATTCTGGGGGATATTGACGGTACAAATTTTTTGCATCAATAAGAAGTGTTTCAAAAGGCAAATTATCAGGTAGCTAGAATCATAAAATCATTATTATTATTATGTCAAGAATAACCCATTATTCTTTCCACAAAATATTATTTATAAATATTAATTTACAAATATTATACTCACTGTACATAAAACTTTATGGGTATGTCCCATATCGGGTGTAGTATTAAATATTTCTGTAGCCCGATGTGCTACAATTACGGAACTAAGATAAAGTGGCATTAAAGGTGGACAGCTAAGAAAATAATCGTATAATCTATGCAATAATTTCCTATTTTCTGCATATTTGTGCGCATACCACGTTGTATATTCAGCTAGTGCAAAATGAGGAAACAATTCTACACTGAAATCAATTAATATATTTCATTTAATATACAAAATATAAACTGTTAAAATTATACAATAACCTTATTGCCTATTTTCCAAAATAAATTTATATTTAATGGATATATATTTTAGTAATTTAACCAGATAGAAGTTAACAGGTTCACTTATAAATATGTAGACAATAAGTTTCTTGTATACTTGAACATTATAAGTAACTAACTTTTCTAGATGTTCAAGAAGAGTAGGGTGAACACGTTCTAACAGCGCAAATATGTAAAAGAGTTCCTGATTAACTTTTTCCATTGTTTTTTCCATAAATCTTTCAAGAAACTCGATAGAAATACTTTCAAGCACATATAAACCTTCTTGTAGGCCCATAACAAGTAAAATAGTTGCAGCTACATCATTATAGCCCTGGTAGTAACTAAGTATGCATTATTTTATTTTATTATACTTTCATTAATATTTAATTAGAAAATGGATGTCACACAGTCATATATGATCACATCTTGTTGTTTTTTTTTTTTAAATCTTCCAAACAACAATACTAACTTTAATTCAGGATGCCTGTGAAGAACCCAACAAATAATCTGCGTTAATTGGTCCTGGAAATGTTCAGTCTCTTTTTCCGTCGCAGTTGGAGAAATATGACTTCCACTTCGTGCTACATCTTTTAATATTTGCTGATAAACTTCATTAGGAATTTTAGTATATATTGTTTTTAGTCCTTCTACAGGTATAATTTCATCCATGGACAATCTTAGTATCTTTGGCCAAAGTACCCTTCGTATACCATCTATAGATCATCTTTATAATTTTGCAACTTGATTATAAGATATATGATATATTATTGTCAAGAAGGAACTATTATTTTAAATATTCAAATATTGCTTCTAAAATCCAAATATTTCAAATAATAATTATTTTATTACGTGACTTAATATTTTAACACATTGACTACCTAATTACATTGTTTTATTTCATCATTTACTGCATTACAATAGATATATAGAAATAGCAAATTAAAAGAATCAAACCAAATATGAATATGTTAAGGATATTTTTCTCCTGATAGCAAAATAAGGGTTCCTTGTTAACAATAATAGACGATTATTAACAACGAGTACCAGTGACAAATCCTTCATTACTGGATCCAAGTAGTTTAAAGTCTCCCAATGATAAATCCGGCTTCGTGATAGTACCTCGTATAACACTTATTTTCATACGCTCTAGATTCGTCAATTCTTCTACACCAACACAAGAATTATCCATAAAGGAATCACTATCTTGACCGAGCACACCATTTTGTTTACCGGATGATGTCAAATCCGCTGTATCAGGTATTCTTGGTATAATACCATCGTACCAAGCTTCAGTCGAGTCTGGTAATAATACGAGTGGGATACGTTCGGCCGTGAAATTCAAGTCATTTTTATGATCTTGAGAAAGATTCACTGTATCGGTGACGTTTCTTCGTCTTACTTTTTGGTTATGTCTCTCGATAGCACCCGACATCTTTGACGTTACTGGTAGTACGGTTATCTCCTCTTCGTCAGTTTCCATCTTATGTACGATTTTCACAAGAAATCATGGTAAAAGCATTACGTGTTTTTATTATACTCCATGGTATTATAGATTTTAAGCGATATATCTTGATTTATTTAATTCTAACTTATTGGAATTTCCGTTCGTTAGTTATCGGTATTGACAATCATTGGTCATCCAACTGTTTCAAATCAACCATATTTCTACGGCACAATGTCGTTTTTATGATATGGTACAGTTTACAACAAAGAGAAGAAATTTCATAAATCTATTCTGTTTTTATTGGTTAAATTGGACTTTGATTTAAACTTAGTCATAGTTTTGTAAGTGTTTAAAGATTATATGTTTAATCCGTGTAGTTTTAATTCACAGGCACATGAATATCGAAATATAATAGAGATCCCTACATTATATCATTCTATATAATGTTCTTCAATTTATTTATATTTAGTATAATATAATAAAATAATACCTATGTTGTGCTCAAAACCTATTTCTTTTTGGTAATAATGCATATTGAATACGTCGATCGTAAAGCATTTGTAATATTTTTCTTACTTTTGGAACTATTTGAAATTATATAATTCATATGTATGTATATAGAAAAATTTAATATATATATATATTATATGTAGAATAAAATGTTATAAATGTTATAAATACGCACAATTTTCCCGGTCTAAAATGGAAACTTAGAAATCGTCACTGTCGACAGATGGCGTCGGTGTCGCTGTGAAAGGGGTGCGGCGCACGATACGGCGATCGCCATACTGGGCGAACGTGACCGAAGACAGAACGAAAATGAGTACTCAAGTGTGTGTCACGTCGCAGTTATTTCGTTCATAACAGAGGTTTTATTTTGACAGTGAGATTCGTGAGCAACTGGCGCGATGTACAGCGGACCGTTGAAGAACTGAGGGAAACTGAAAAGCATAAATCCGCTGAGGGAACAGCGTAAGATCAGAAATATCGGAGCTCGACTTCTTAGACGACTGGCTGTTCCTGCATGTGTCACAACGAGTGCCACTTCTGTGCGTGCGCGCCTATTTCCTCTGACTCTTATTTTTCTTAATATTTTTATCGTTAATACCTACCAACGTTTACAAAGACGGCGACGGCGACGACGACGAGACAGTTAAAGACGACGACGACGACGACGACTACGAAAACGAAGACGAAGACAAGAGTAAGGACGAGAACGACAACGGCGGCAACGGCGGCAACGGCAACGACGACGACGACGACGACGACGACGACGACGACGACGACGACGACGAAGACGACGAAGACGACGACTAGGCCTACAAATCTTTAAGACTGAAGATTCCTCAAACTACCAATGAGTTTGGCCGTGTTGCGCTGTGTTCGGTCCTACTCCTTTTACTAATTGCGTGTGTGATGCCCGGGAGTCGCTCCAGCACGGACCCAGATCATAAGTCACCGCGAGAAAGTGGTGAGGACTCCGAGGATGAAAGCGAGATCCTGGAAGAGAGCCCCTGTGGGCGGTGGCTCAAACGCCGGGAGGAGGTATGTTTGTAATTATATTTTTCATCGATACTCTTGATAGAGGAATTACGTGCACTTCTTTAGGATGCCGCATGCTACACGTCTTTCTTGTTACTTTTTTCATTTGCCCGAGTCATTGTGCATTTACAAGGAAAGAATAATGCTGTGGTTTTGATAAATCCTAACGAGGTAAAGGAATAGGCAAACACGTGATGCAATATGATGTCTCTCTGTGCTACTGTTTTCTTAACAGTAGGGTATTCATGGTACATATTTAAATTTATCTAATATAAAATATAATTTATCTTTAATATATCACTTGGTACAAAGATAAATAAGGAAACGTATAGAGATAATCTTCCTTTTGTTTTGCATCTTACATTTATATTATCGTAGATTTCTGCATTATTTACTGGTATATAATAAATGTTTTCCGATAATATTATTCTGACATTTATCAAGTAATATTTTATATCTCTTAGATTTTTAAATGTATATCAAGATAAGAGACAGAAATGTCTGATATAAAAATTACTATTGTAAAACATTCATAAAACTAATTTTATTGAAACAATTGAGTTTCTTGTTAGGAAATAATATTTGTACATCATATATTTGTATACAGACTGGTTAATAATAGATTATTCCCCAAAATGTCCTTAGGATTTTGTTTGTACAGTATCTTAAATCAGACAGAATCTGATTGAAAATTTTGGCACACATATGTATATATCTTTTATTAACAGTTCCATTTCATGTTTTTTGCTAAAAATACATTTATAAGGTTTGGCTAGCAGATAATGTTTAATTATTCTGATGTTTGTATCTCTTGCTTTTAAATATCCAGTTTAAAATAAATATGAATATCAAAATATGAATACTGATGAAAAAGAAGATATGTCAATTAGGAATCAATAATAATCTTATTCTTATTACTTCTATGAGCAAATATATATTTGTTTGAAATAAAAATATAATAAAATGAATATTACTAAATCAGTTATCTGAATAATAACTATATTAATGTACATAAAAATTGTTTTATATTAAGTAAATAAATATATGTTTCTATTTTAGGTATATGTAGGTTCTAAACCAACATCAGCCGAAGGAACTAGCTTTGGTACAACCAGAGGTAGTGAAAACGAAACAACTGAAATGGAGGTAAATAAATATAAGCAAAATAAATAATTTAAATATTAGATTAATTTAAATATTTCTTTTCTCTATATTATTTGCGTAAGTCATGTAATGACTTTTATTTTTTCTGGACCCTCTGTGGCCTTGACAAAGTCATATCTATGCAATAGCATATTGTCGTGAAATTGTCTCAGCAGTAAAATTGCTTTAACTGAGCTTTAAATGGATGATTACGATAATGTGTTATAACACATCCCTAATTTTAGTCTTAGCTAAAGAACATAACATTTATCTGCCATGGTAATATAATTTATTTTAATTTATGCATTAATTTGTTTTATTAATATGTTTTGTGTATATATTTAATTTTAAAAAAGAATATTCCCCCCCCCCCCCCCATAAGTAACAAGATGAGTAGGGTAGTATAGGGTGAGATGAGTTATATAATATTTATACTTAAATTCTTTTACTTTCTTTTTTTATAAAAGTTAACAAAAGTTTATAAAAACAAAATTGCATAGTATGAAGGGAACTTGGAGGATACAATGACATAAAAATTTATTTTTCCTTTCAAACTATGTAACCTTGTCTTAAAGAATTTTTTGACTAGGTACCTCTATATTTTTCTTCTCTATTATTCTTATAAAATTTGATTGTATCTGTGCAGATAGAGCAACAAGATGTTCCAGGAATTGACTGTGCTTATTTAGCAATGGATACAGAGGAAGGTGTAGAAGTTGTATGGAATGAGGTACAATTTTCAGAAAGGAAAAACTTTAAAGCACAAGAAGAAAAGATACAACTTGTTTTTGAAAATCTCACGCAATTGGAGCACCCTAATATTGTCAAATTTCATAGGTACTGGACGGATACCCATAATGACAAACCACGAGTAAGTTGTAAAATTTATGCCTGTATACAAGTGTATACAATGTTATTTTACAAATCATTCTTCTAATAATTTTTATCCATTTTATAGGTTATATTTATAACAGAATATATGTCATCTGGATCCTTGAAACAGTTCCTAAAACGAACCAAACGTAATGTAAAAAAATTGCCTCTCCAAGCATGGAAACGATGGTGTACGCAAATACTTTCTGCATTAAGGTAAAATTGCACAAGAAAATTTTAATATATAATTACTTTGATATATATATATATATATATATATATATATATATATATATATATATATATTTACCACATAAAATGTTTTAGTTATCTGCATTCCTGTTCTCCTCCCATTATTCATGGAAATCTTACGTGCGATACTATATTTATTCAACATAATGGACTTGTAAAAATTGGTTCAGGTAGGTACTATAGAGAAATATAAAATGATTCTAATGCAGGTATCACAAAATATATTTAGATATATCTTAACACATTTTATATTTATATTAATAATGTTCTGAAGCAAAGATTGGTGTGATGCATTTATATATTAAGCATCAAGTCATTTGTATCTATTTTAATATTTCATAAGTACACCATATACACATAGTACTTATGTGCGTAACAGAGGAATGGTGCTTCAATATTGAAACACATTGAAACATAATGCCAGAGGAATTAACTTCCCTTTCCTATTTTATATAGCATGTAAATTTACAGCATTTATCATGGATTAAATTTATAATTATCTCATCAATGCAATGAAGCAGTAATTGAAATTTTATTTTTATAAATTTTATTTGTGTATGTTATGTATAAACTTATGGAAGAATGTATATTAATTTTACCATCACTACAATTTTAACATTTTTGTTTTAATGTTTTTATGCAATAATTGATGGTGATTTCCTGATTAGCAATTTACTTTTATATATATATATATATATATGTGTATATAATTATCTTATATTACCAAAGTTATGTGTATAACTTAGTATGCATATAGAAAAAAGAAGGTAATAATGACGATCAGATGCAGATTGAGAAGTAAAATGAAAAATAATTGAATAACTTTTTTGTCGAACAATATTTGCTATACAATATTTTGAGAAGAGAAGACCATAATACATTTATATATTATAATTATGTTATATATAAATATCATATATTAGGATTATGGATTAGGACATAGAAAAGGAAGATTTTAGTTATAATATTAAAGTTTGAATATTAATTGTGGCTATATAGGATTGAACTTGGTCAGAAAACAGTATTGTTATATACAATACATACAGTGTATATACTCTCAAATACTTTTGTTGTTACCGTGTTTAGATCCAAGTAGTCACAAAACGGATATGAATGGTTTGGTAATCTGTAACTTTTGGATAATTGTATATTATTGTAGTAAGATGAGTCCATTAGAAAGATTGTGTTTAAACTTCTTTTCATATTAGGAGTAACTTGAGTCCTCATTTTTAATTGTAGCAAATAGGCTAATCTAGATAATGAAAAAAACACAGCAAAGCCTTCGAGAGAGGGGAGGTACAATTGTACTTCCATTCACCCAGAGGATATATGCATCGACATCAACGTTCTTCGATCAGTGTATATTATCGTGGTGGACTATTTGAAGATAAAAGATTTGCCAGATTATCAACGACTATTGCCAGCTAAGTAATGTAGGCATGGAGAGGTAAACTTCATTATTTCTATATTATTATTATAAGTAGTCTCACTAAATGTGCAATGTTTAATTTATTATCTTAATGCCACCTTATTGCACTATTTTCTTCATTCTTTCAGTTATTAAGCACATATAGCAGAAAAGGACAAAATTCCTATTTGCTCTCATGTGTTTTGCGATTATACAACATACATACTCTCTCTTGTCGTGTTTTTCTTAATTTTATAATCCCTTTAAAACTACTCTAAGAATTTTAACTTTTCCACTTCAATTTGACCTTGTTCAATGAAAGTGGCTCTTTGAGTATATAAGCAGTTTAAAATGTACTATGAAAACGTATAATATGTTATTCATTGTAAAAAGTTTTCATGCTCTTTAAAGCTTCTGAAATGTTGAAAAATTGCTCCTCCTTTGTAGAAGCACCCTTATGTATATACATGTGAAATACTATCAATTATATGAGGGCTCAAGTTACTCTTAGGACAATTTTTTATTATATACACAATTTTTCTAAAGGTAATTTCTTAAGTGTTTTTTTTATTAAATGGGCAGCAAGCAAACAGAATAGAATAGGCAAGTGTATTATTTTTTCAATATCTTGTAGCGAAAACAAGGTAATTATGTCATTATAAATATAATTGCAGGTTCTGTTTAAAAGCTGCCTTATCATATTTTCAACTCATTACTCATTGAAAATTTCAACATTATCGTATCATTCCTCTATTTTCGTATTTTATTTTATAGATATTTTAAAGTTGAGAATAATGTTTGTATAATTTCAGTGGCACCTGATGCGATTCATCATCATGTCAAGACTTGTAGAGCTAATATGAAAAATATGCATTTTGTTGCTCCTGAATATGGAAGTGAGTTGTTTTAAAATATTTAAAACAAAAAAAAAAAAAAATGAAAATATTTATATATTATTAAAAAAAAAGTTTATTGCGTTTTCTATGCATCACGAGGTATTTAATCTTTTTCTAGATTCTGTGACACCCGCTATTGATATTTATTCTTTTGGAATGTGCGCATTAGAAATGGCGGCACTTGAAATTCAAGGGAATGGTGATAGCGGAACAATTGTTACTGATGAAAACATTAGGAAAACGATCGAATCTTTAGATGATAGTCAACAGAAAGATTTTATACGCAAGTGTCTCGAAGTGGATCCTTTATGTAGGCCAAGCGCTAGAGAACTACTGTTCCATCCGGTTTTGTTTGAAGTACATTCTCTAAAGCTTCTTGCGGCACATGCCTTGGTCAACTCGGCCAGTAAGCTTAACAATACCCTTCTTTATTTGATCGTATAGGTAAACGTACATGTTGGATGCGTTGTATCCTTTAAGTCCGTTTTTTCTAACACAAAAATTAAGCATTAGATATGAAAAACTTTTTTTATTAATAATATTCTGTTTTTTCCTTTTTTTTTTTCTCCTTTTTTTTTCCCCTCCTTTTTTTTACAGCAAATATTTCAGAAACGATAACGGATGAAGTCTTGCAAAGGCTATATGGTCCAGATACGGTAGTTGCAGAAATAAAATACCAAGGTCGATCGGTGCAACAAATTCGCTTAAGTGACATACCTGTCACAGAAAAGTTAGAAAAATTTGTTGAAGATGTAAAGTAAGATTTTGGTCATTGAGTTTCTATGAATTTTTTGCGATACATTTTCTATTTTTCCAATTTAAATATTATTTACATTGTCAGATATGGAATATATCCTTTAACCGCATTTATGGCAAAGTTGCCTCCACCTGCTCGACCTAGAGCTATATCTCCAGAAGTAACAGAATCTGTTAAGTCTGTAACACCGGAACCAGTAGATGTGGAATCACGAAGAGTAGTTAATATGATGTGTAATGTTAAACCTAGAGAAGAAAGTTGTGAATTACTTGTAAGTAATGTAAACAAAAAAGAAAGAAAAAGAAAAGAAAGAAAAAAATGTGTCTTGTTTTATTTACACATACGTTAAAAAATCTTTCTATAAATGGAGAACATTATTCTAGAAAATATTTGTGTATACTTTTTAGATGACAATATTGTTACGAATGGATGATAAAATGAATAGGCAGCTGACGTGCCCTGTGACTCAATCAGATACTTCATTGATTCTTGCACAGGAACTTGTACACTTTGGATTTATTAACGAAGTATGTATTTGCCAAGTTTTAATATAATATGTTTGTAGGTGGGCGCGTTGTGTATATATATATATGTATATATGTACGTATGTATGTATGCTATATTAAAGGACAAACTAAAAACAAGGAATAATGAAATTAGATAAAATGAAGTCTGAACCGATTTGAAAGGAATTAACAATGTTTCAGAATGATCGCGATAAAATAGCCAATTTAATTGAAGAAGCATTGAGAAGTTGTTTCAATAAGCAAATGATGATGCCAGGGATGGTATCATTAACCAATCTTCCTACACAGACTACTTTGTTGCTGCCTGGTCCAGAATTTTCCTGTTTACAGCACTTTGATAATTCTGTGTGCAATGCTACAACATCCAACAGTGATAATGCAATTAATTTGCTGCCAAAAATCTCAGGTCTCTCTGTGTCAAGTAATAAAACGAATAAGAGTCACGATGAAGTAGAACCACCAACGATTACCGAAAGTGGTAGTTAACCATCCAGGACGTCTGGTAAATCAGTTCACTGTGCCACTTTGCACGCTCTATGTATAGACTGGCTATGTATTTTTATATTTAAGTAAAGAGAAGAAGAGATTGAAAGTATAGGAGAAGAGGCGCCGTGGCTACATCACTAAGCTAATCGCAATTCTAGTATGAACGAATAGGTACGCTTGTGCAAAGCATTTCATGACAGTCAAGTACTAACAATCCAAACTTTTAACATTTTTAAAAGTTTTAAGCCTTGTTTTTAATTACTGGAAATAAGGTCACTGCAAGCATAGTTTGCTTTTAAAGGGATGTTTTTTTTATCGAGGAAATCACGAAAATATGTTTTTTGAAACATGCCTTTCTCTCGTATTCGTTGCAATAGAAGTTCGATTTAAGTGTTACTACTTTATACACAACCACGTGAATGCTTAATAAAGTAGCAACGATCTTCGTTACGAACGATATGGACAGATATATAGTTGGGATTATTATATTATTTTTATTTGCAAATTTTAAATTAACGAATGTAAAATGAAATTTTGTGATATAAATATAAAAGAAATGGCCATTACATTTTAAATGTACACGAATAATGCTTTATTGTATCATACATGTACGAATAAGCGTTGTGCCATCAATTATCTTGTATAGTAAGAGAAAACAGCTCATTATGAATCAGCACTATTTACTTATATGCGTTTATATTTAAAATTTTTTAACTGTTCAAGATTAAATGATGATCATTATGGTGCTAATAAAAAAAGCTAATAGCATTTAATATAAAAAAAATTACTTAATCTATTATACATTCCGGATCGATAAATAATAATATCGCGCCAATGATTTGTATCACGATATAATAATTGCTCTTTTAAATGATGCAACACACAACGTTTTTGTAATTTTTGCTATTTTCTGATATTGAATTTAATTTTTTATGAAGATTTAGTGGGGACGGGATGATATAATATGGTATCATATGATGTGGTATGTTATGGTTGGTATGGTATGGTATGGTATGGTATGGTATGGTATGGTATGGTATGGTATGGTATGGTATGGTATGGTATGGTATGGTGTCGTGTCGTATGGTGTGGTATGGTGTGATATGGTGTGGCGCTTGGCGTGCGCACGTGCGTGTTCCTTTTTATTATATTCAATTTTGTCGAATGGATATGCCTAATTTGATTTTCATAAGAAACAAAAGGATGCCACGGCCCTGTTATACTTGGGTATTATTGATGTGATTAAACCAACGTTATTAAATCTCGATAAAATTAGCTGAAATCCTTGTAAATAATTTATATTTTTAAGAAAATCTGTTGAAACAGAAAACTAGTCATATAGGTATATTTGAGTGCTAACAAACTAACACCGACCTTGTTATGTCTTTTGCATTTGTAACACAAATATGTGCTTGGCAAAAACATATTGCTGCAATTTCATACCTCATTAAAATCGATTTCAGTGACACATCTCACTTTGCAAATGACTAACCATTAGTGGTAATCTTACCAACAACATAAATTTTGACTTTAAATATGTAAGTAGATTATCGAAATTAAAATCAATGTATAGCTTTGTAATTCGAATTATAAAAAATGAAAAAAGTACGATGACTGAAGCGTGGATATTATGACCGGACTGTACGATGACAATGGTGAAATAAATACTGTAATTCCGAATTGTTGTGTTACGAACTATATTAACTTACATTTACATAGTAATTTTACTTTTTACGTTTCTATGTTTATCTTTTTTTAAAATATATCTGATTAAAGTAATATATGTATATATTTCATCAAACATTATTATGGATGGGCGATTTGTAATCACTTTGAGCGAACAATTTGTGCTATAAAGATTTATTCCTTAGATCTTTACAGTTAAAGAGAATTATCGCGTTACTTATAGAAAATTGATGTATGGATGGAGTATCACGATGAAAGGCTACTCTGATCTCGAGTATGACCTTAAGCGCGTTTTTCTTTTTTTTTTTCTCTTTTTTTTTTCTTCCATTTTATTTTTTATAATACAAATTTCACGACGTCTTTTCTTTCAGAAATAAAATCATTATACATTGTGCAACAACGTCGTATGGAGTTTGTCTACGACTTATGCTTTTGTAAAAAATCAAATGTACACTTAGAATCTAATAACTACGCATAAAAACGCTAAAGAAATTAAATTTAAGCGGGGCAAGCGTTATTGTTTCATCGTCATCAAAGTATCGTTACAATAATCGGCACAAGAATTTTAGAAAAATGTACGTGCTCGATTTCAAATATATAATGAACTTCCAATAAGTCGGAAGTAGTAGCGCGCGCGCTATCATAACGCGAGACGATAAGAAAATTTACGAGAATGTTTATTTAAAAAAAATCCTGGAAAGTCTATTATACTTCTTCTTTGGTGTGAGTCCGATTTAAAAGATAATCGAGATCATGCGAGATACGATCCAGCATGCCGGAAGTCGTAGTCTCGCAACTTGTAATTCGAATTTCGGGCATTTTTTCCTCGCCGTCGGGCTGTTTACGTTCCGTTGTATTAGCAATATCGGGAATAACGTTCACGTGTTCTCTCGTTTTCAATTCAACGCCCGTTAAATGTTCTACATCCGTTTTCACCGCCAACGTTACGTCTGGCATTGCACTTAAACGTGATTCTATGTCAGCGCTGCAAAGAAGTTTGCCTGAGCATTCCGATGAAACGTTTTGATGAATAGAAAAATCTCGAAAAGCGTTACGATCTGTAACACCGTAAGACTCGGCTAGACATTGAGAAGTTCGCTTAGCAAAAGCTGTATCGAATGCTTCTTGATACTTTCGCGGGCTAGTATTATAGTTTTCAAGATTGATGTCGTCCGGTCGATCGATTCGAATCTCAGGCAAGTACCTGCCAGCAACGGATGTCGAAGATTTCGAATAAGAAGAGGTCTCGGTAGTAAATTCTCGCATATCTATGCTACCAGCTGCTATTCCTCGAGTTTCTATGTAGGGTTCGGCCAAGATGGACGACGGAGGTGGTGGTATGGCATCGTTTTGCATTTCTGCCTCGATTTTTGAACATACTAAGCATAAAATGACGTGTAATTCATTCATATATTTGTTCTTTCACTCGCTCACTCGTTCATTCATTCATTCGTCAGACATATCGACATCAAACATTTTATAATACCTTTAATCGGCTCTGAAATTCGTTCGTTGCTCGTTTCCAATTTCCATTTAAGTTTTCGTAATATTGGTCTAAGTAAATTGATTTCGCTGCTAACAACGTATGCTATTATTATGATGAAACCCTGCATATAAATTCAATATTGTATTTTACTACTTGTTAATATCGTCATTTGAAATTTCTACAAGTATAATATACGTTATTTAAAATTTATTATATACTTACTAGAACGGAAGATAATGATGCGAAGACATAATGATAAATTATTGAGGTTGAATTAATGTAGAAGATCGAGGACGCTTCCGTGGCAATAATCCCACATATAATTATAGCGGCACGATGCAATAATCGCGTTCTGTAAAAAGAATTTTTTTTGCTCAGTTTTCAATTTTATGATACAGTAAAATTCTTCAAGGCACATATGTTTCAATAGAAACTATTATACGTCGAATGACTGACGTAAGTTCAATCAATTGTCCTAAAGGAAAGAACTCTAAAACCCGAAGAACCCAATCTTAGAGATATAAACGGTACAATAGGATAAGCTTTGAAAAGAACAATAAATGATGAAAGTCTTTTACCTGAAATTTTACTGGAACTTTTACTTTTATTGAAGATTAGCGTGGTTCTTACCTCGATTCTATTGTTTCTTTCTTCATAACATTTTCCTCTATGAGTGCATGAGCTTTATGAAGGACGCCCATATAGAGTATCATAAATACGAAAAACATCACGGTCGCACAAGTTACGAATATATTGTATACTCCGCTTCCGTAAATCAACCACCAAGATTCGTGTCGCCAACCGGTACTTTTGTGAGTAAGTTCGGTGGCTAGTACAGCCAAAATTGGTACCCCTATATAAAACTTGTCATTCAAAAATCTTATTTATATCCCGATCTTATACATTAACAATGTATCCTATACCTGTAATAACAGCGATGACTGTGGGTTGAAAATGCTGATTCGATCGTATATGAACAAGTTGAGAATATATTATGAGAGCCTCGGATATGGGAGCCGACATGCCAACAAGAAGAAATGCTTCCAATCCTATTGCAACGAGAGAGTAGTTACTCTGTAGAAAAAATGCAATGCAAAGCTGTCAGGTAAGCAGAGATAAGTAGATAAGGATTAAACATAGGACATTAAGATACATTGGTTTTTCCATACATCAGAGAGATTGCCGCGTATCGCATAAATGAACAGAGCCATTGCACCGATCAGAGCACCGCAACACTGTACTTTCAAAAAATTTAACCAGCTCCGATTTTTCCACCAATATATGCCAAGAATTAACAACGATAGTGAACATTGAACCAGACAACTTCCACAGCCAAGTGTCACGATAAAAGTTGTTTGTTCCTTCTTTGCTAATACTACCTGAAAAAAGAAACTCTTGGTGCGAATGGTTTCTCGAAAATGACCGAATTATCTACCTGAAATGTTTTATAACTTTCTATGGATAATTACCCTTACAGCCCTAGCGGTCAAGAAAAGAGCAACGGTACCGGTATTAGAACACGAACAATAAATCGTAACATCCCCTGGAAATGTATTTGCTGTGCAACCATTAAGATTCCAGGTACCTGAGTAATCCATAAGTCCACAAGAAACATTCCAAGCGCCAGAATGATTCCGTAATTGTTTCATATGCAGATCGACCGAAACTTTATTGTGTTTGTCAGATTTGAAGGAAGGCACGGTTACAGTAATCGCATGCGAGTTAATCCAATACTCTAGGTCTGTACCGTCGCTAAAATTTACAAGTAATTTCATTAAATGACTAACGATTGTGATACGATTTGTTTTGTTCCATTTATCTGGACACATAATATATAAGTATGTACGCGTATATACTTACTCAAGCTCTTTGACGTATACGTTTGGAAGGAAGCTAGAAACGTTTTTATAAACAATGACGATTCCTTTGTACGTACTATTGTTTTTGCCATCTCTGAATCTCTTTTTCCATAGACGTATAGTGATATTGTCGTTGTACCAATCAGGATAGCTGTAATAACAGAATACATGTATCGCGTCAATACAGTTTTCCGTATGCTTCTTTTCGAAAAGATACGTGTTTGAGAAATACATGTAATCGTTTGTTGGGATTTGAAGAGAGTATATGAAGCTGTCACCGCTGTAAAATTGCAAGGGTTGAATATCGACGACCATTGATGACAGAGACAAGTGAACGCAGCCTTGATTCAATTTTTTTGACCAGTGCATTAGATTTTTTTCGGCTATTTGCAGTAATATCCATAATCTCTACAAAATGAGTTTTAGAAGTAGATCATCTTATAAGTAAACATGATACCTATATGATTGTATAATATTGTAATAATAACAATAATAATGCTAGTAGTAGTAGTAGTAGTAGTAATCCTTGAAGTCCTTACTTGCGGACTTAAAATGGAATTTTCCTCGTTCAATATGCGATTCACGATACGCGTCAGAGCTTCGGCAGAACGATGCAAATCGGACGGATCGATGGTACGTTGGTAACGTTCGATTTCGACGAGTATGCTTAAAATACGATCAGCTTCGTTCGGATAAAGCGATAATTCGCGCGATCGTAGTACATTCCAAAAGGCAATTATCGTTTCCGAGCCTGTTGTGTTTTGATAGCCCAGCGTCAAGCTTCGGAACTACGAGCAATGAAAGAGAGAAAATAAAGGAGATAGAATTATCAAGAGAATTTGAATCATTAATATCAATAGTCGAGACTGACTCTATCGTAAGGACGAAGCAATGGCTCGTAAAGACAATCGGAAAAGTCTGGCATCAACCACTCGGGAGTGGTCGCATCCTTCATCGAGCAAAGTCTCGATACTTTAGGACCGACGAAACGTCGTGGACATTCGAGCAAAGCTTCCGAGCCGGGAGCTGTGTCGGGCCATTGAAGAGCCCAGGATTTTTCTTTAGAGCACGTCGGTACCAAAGTTCGATTCGTTAATTCCACTCGCACGGACATTGACCGGTGTGCTACGTTGCACGTATATATAGCCGATTTCTAAAATTATTTTATTGTCAATATAAATCTGAGGATGAATTATGAGGGTTTTATTATTTTAAATGGACGTTTCTACCTGAACGTTCGTAATTTTTAAAATGCTACCATCTGGATAAAGGTCCTCCCAAATTTCACTACCTGGTTCCAACTTAAGTAACGCTCGATTCTTTGTCCAACCGAATCCTATACCTGTACTATGCATATTGGGCGTTGTACAAGTCAGTTGTATATTGCTACCCTGGAATCCATATATTCTCTATTTTATGATGACTGCTAAGATAACATTTAACAATGAAAAAGTTTACGAAACAAAACAAAGAATACAAAAAAAGACTGATTCATAGAAAACTCATTCGGCATATTCGACGCTTCGGGAATATTTTCTTTTCGATCAATCAGATTCGAAGGGATTTTTACCTTTTCCACGGTAGTACTCATCGGCGTAACCTTTACATCCGGTTCATTTTTCACTTGTACGTAAAGACTTTTACATTGTTGTACACCCCGATCGATAGCTTGGCACGTATATTGACCAGCGTCCAATATAGTCGCCTTATCGATGTTTAATATCGACGTGTGTATATCCAATCCGCCGTTAGGAAGATCCTCGTGTCGAATTCCTCTGGATGAACATGAGAATAAATAAATCGATAAATAACCCGTTGAAAAGAAGAACGAAATGACGATACGAATTATTACGAAATTACCTATTTGCTTTGCTCACGTTTACCAGCATATCATCTTTGTACCAAATGAAATGAATACCGTAACTTCCTTGGGCGACGCAATGAAGACTGATTTCATCGCCTAAATGAACCTCGTGCTCGTTCGATCGATCCAAATGTAAAATCTAGAAAAATTTGATCTCTATTGATCCTCGTACGATCCTTCTCGAATTAATTCGTCAGTTTCATTTTACAACTTTTCATACCTGCAATCTGAGCGCGGGCTTTTGTTGAAACGTAAAGTGCGTAGATTCGAGAGCTATCTCGCTGAGACGGCGTCGTTGGACCAGACGATTCAGCGATTCTCGAATTTTATCGCCATCGTCCGAATTGCCAAAAAATTGAAAAGTTATCTCCGACGTAGGCCTACATTAAAAAGCGAATTTACGGTTTGCCGCTGGGAAACGTAGCCAGGGACGGGAGGGGTTCGCGGGAACAGGCGCGACGCTATGCCATTGGTCAGTCAAACGTTAATATGGCGATAAATACATTAATACGCGATTGGCGGGCGAAATTCAAACGACGGGTAATATTTGTCAGTTGTGATGTACAATATTTTGTAGTTACTTAAGACTTTTTTTTCTTTAATATACCTACTCACGTCACGCTTAGGATCTTTAAGTCCTCCATGGAAGATATATTTGAACTCTTCAAATACTTGGTTAGCTGCGAAGGAATAAACGCAATGAATGAAACTTATTCGTAGTATTAAAAGGTAAGGAAAGTTGGAAATGTAAGAAATAATCCGTGTCAAATCTAATCATCATATTACTTTATCATATTTTTATTTCCCTTTATAACAATCGATTGTACAAATCAATATGAATTGTACCATATAATAGAAAAAATATAATCATATTGATAATCCATAGACGTTCGTTACATTATAGAGCGAAGTCACGTAAGAAGATGACGTAAACGTGAAAGCGATTCGCTGTAAAGATGTAGGTCATGCGTTTTCTGCGTAGAAGAATTGACCAATCCGAAGGCACGAGAATCAATCCCCAAAAAGAAAAAAAAAAGAAAAAAGGAAAACATCGTCGTAGCTCGATGGTTGTGTTCCTCCCGCGCCGATTCAAGCGCACGTAAGTGTATATTCACCCGTCTTTTGACGTATTTTCAATGTTCAATTTTCAATATCGTATCTGAAGAGAGACTGAACCCTTCCTCCTCATTCAGGTGGATCCGTGGAATAAGGTTCGTCAATGAGAACGCAAGAGAGATCCGAATGTCCTGGACCCAGTAAGTTTTGCAGCGTATGTAGCGGTACTCTCGATACTCTTATTCCAATTTCACGGCAGTAAGCCTCGAGTAAAATCATTTGAAGATGACTAGCAGCATCCATCTTGACGTCGAGCGGTACCATACAGATACTGCCTTGATCGTTGCATTCTCGAGATGCCAGGACACGTAGAGTCGGGAGCATGCCGCAGGTTATGTTGCTTCCGCGTGAACACTTGCAATTTCGAGACTCCATGTTCCACGTTGGCTTTGCGCTGAAACACGGGTTTTTTTTCCCCCTTGATAATACCAATTTTTCTCCGATTTCGTCCGTTTAATCCATCACGAAAGAACAAGAAAAACAAACTAGAGAGATTTAACGGAACAAACAAATGCCGGAAAAGATTCGAACTAATATATCAGTTTTAGATATTTGAATTTTTTTTGCGCGTTATCACGTTAATTTGCATAATTACCTTTCCGCCATCGTGCTCAACGAAAAAGATTGTAGTCCTCGACAGCTCATATCGGTAAGTTTTTCCACGTCGATCATAGCCGATTCTATCCTCCCCGATTTGTAACTTCTTCGTAACACTTCACTGAACTCCTTTGGAATATATTTCTTACTTCTTCGGCCGTCGACTTGTTTGTCACAGACTCGGTCCACTATTTTTGTTTTTCCTTCCTAAGAGGAACTCGAAAACGTTCCAAATATTTTGATGTCCAGTAGTCGTGCGGTAAACGCAACGTTGTGCAATAGTTTGCTTATCTGTCGCACTCACGCGAACATACACATCGAAAGGAGAGGGAACGAGAGGAGAACTTATCTGATGAACGCGAGTTCAATCGTGTACGCCCTCTCGTGCTTCTTTCCGCGTAAAGAATGATCGCTGTGCAATCGCGTCTCGCGCCTTTATAAATCATCTATTCCCCCTCCTTTTATCTCTCCTTCGTTACGGTGGAGAACCGTGTAATGTTTCCACGGATATTCCAGATAAGCCGTGCCCCCTTTGTACATACAACACGACGGCGCGATGGTTTATCGATAAATCCCAAAGGAAAGAGGAACGGACAAGATATACATATGTAACGAACGTTTTTCCCCCTTGCTCGATTCGAGAGAGGGAAAGGAAAAAGAAAATCTCCAATTTAAATTTCGTCGAAAGCTCTTAAACCTATTACACTTGTTACATGCTTTTTGACAAGTCATATTTGAATCTAGGTTCTGCCAAAAAAAAAAAAAAGAGATTTTATCTGTCTGCGTATTTATCATGTCTCGCGTTTCTCTCGATCTCAAAAGTTGGAAGAAAAAATTGGCCTATCGGAAGGCAAATTTCGTCATGTTGAAGGATATGAATCGCGTTCAACAACCGGGAGGGACGGACGGCGATCATCGATCGTCTCCAGTCAATATATTAATTCTGTACATAGGATACACGAGTACAATACGCTACGCAGTAAATCGTCGTCGTCGTTGAGCATTTCGTTCGAGTATGCGTGTAATCGATAACAACACACCCATTATCATCGACATCTATCGAGGATAGCATATGTGTGCAAAGATAAATATCGAGAAAGATGATGAAAACTTCCTCGTTTCGTCATTTTTTTCTTCCTTGTCTCGTCTCTCAATGACATACATATGAACCCTATATGCGTACGTAATGAAAACGCATACTTTTAGTCCGTTCCCAAACGCGTAAAGTATTATCAATAGTTACCATGGTCAGCGCAGTATGTTATATGCGAGATAAGCTTCTCGATAAATTTTCGATAATCTTTGCAGATCTAAAGTCTACCGCATACTTTTTATTTCCTAACGGACGCGTAAGGTCGAGCCACATGGATTTTACATACGATCGCTACTTTCGTTCTACTTTAATTTTACACGCAACCTATACATATACGAAGCTTAATTATGCAGGAACATTTTTAGAACTGGCGGGAATCCCAACGCGTCTAGAGCTCATCAACCGCATGAAAGCGAGACAGAGTGACGATGCATAAAACAAGACTGCCAATTTTTTTTTCGCTCTGTTCTATTACATAACTCGTTTCTTTGTATCCAATGTGATCCTCGATGTGTGCCATTTTTTTTAAACAATTCGTATCATAATAAATTAAATTTTCAGGATCCGAAGGATGGGAAGAGGCGTAATGACATCGTGTACTTTGATTAAACGGTCGATGTCAAGAAAATTACCAGGAAGTCTTCTAATCAAAACTATTAGGAATAGGAATTGGGAAAATCTCGATCGAGATATCGCTGAACGAGCCAAAATCGTAGACACTATTTTAAAATACACGGAAATCACTAACGATCACATGACACCTGATTTAAAGCTTTTTCTTCTAACACCAAGATGTTCTCTCTATCACGATCCATTTGATAGAGTAAAAAAGGAATTCGATCAAGTGGAAAAACAAACTTTTACGAATCCATTTTGGTCTATATACTGGCCGGGTGGACAGGGCCTAGTTAAGTTCATATTCCAAGAACAAAGAAATATATTTATACGTTCTAAGGATATTAATGTTTTGGATCTTGGAAGTGGTTGCGGTGCTACGGCTATAGCAACGAAACTCCTTGGTATTCGTAATGTTGTGGCAAATGACATTGATAAAGGTTTGTCAAATTATCTTTTCAATATATTTATAGATATATATGAGAGATTCGCTGAATATCCACTTTATTGATTCCTTGCTCACGCATTACGTGAAAACGTTGTGGTAGTAAGACAGAGAGAGAGAGGAGAGAGGGAGAGGAGAAAGGGAGAGAGAAGAATTAACCGAATAACATTATCCAAGAATTTTGGTATACATTCAAATACATTTGGCAAAGTGGATCGAAGCGATCTAAAAAGTTTTCTATTGAGAATTGTATCAGGCATTTAATGTTAAACGTTATCTCGTTATTTGTTACGCATTTACGTAAAAGGGGAAAACGGATATTTAAATTATTAAGAAATTCAGCATCAATTCGAGACAAACGAGTCTGTGGATGGTTCGATGGAAATATCTATTACAAATACTTGATCGACGTCAGCAAATGAAAGTGTGCTTAAATTCTCTGTTAAATGCAATATAATGTATATCTTTTACATATATCTACTATATTTATATGTGATACGTACACAAATTGCATGTATTTGATACGTGTATACACTCAGAAGGATGAACGAGCGTATCTGCTGTAAAACTGACGTCTCCGATCAGGCATAGAGACAGATAATAAAGAATTCCTCAAGGAATGATTCACAATCAACGTGGCTATATGTATGTATCTTGTTTATATGCGATAAAAGTCTCGTTTTTTCCTTGTAGAGTCGTTTCTAAAGAAAGATGAAGCCAATTCTAGTGCGAGTTGTTCTCAACCGAGCCTGTGTTGCACGATTTTTCGGAAGTTCATTTGTTTTCTTTTATTTGACTAAGAGAGACTATGTTTCATAAGAATTTACTTTCCTTATAGAAGCTTCCTTATCCCGAGATGAACAATCATTTTCTCTAGATTCCATGAGAGATTTTCGTTTTAAGATTTCGCCTACATACGCTAAGATTCTTGGATCGACCGGTTGCGCACCACATTATTGGGCTTTCCCCCATTTAACGAGAGGCCAGAAGACAGAGTCTCGTGCGTCAGTGAAAGCGTCAGCTGGTCCATTCTCGGTATTGCGAATCTTTATGCATACCAAACTCAAAATAACTGCATTTTCTACCTCTTACACGCTGAATTGTTATTTACGTAATAACGCAGATCATATATGTGTATATGTGTATATATATATATATATATACACGATATTTCAAAACCAAAGACAGAGACGAATAAACGTAACTTTTATGCGCGTGAATGAATAGATCGACTGACTTCTTTGTTTTCTTTTAGTTGCCTGTATAGCCACCCTCATGAATGCTACATTAAATGACGTGGATGTTCAAGTATCGTGGAAAAATCTATTGAATGAACCACTTAAAGAGACATACGACATTATTTTTATCGGAGATCTACTTTACGAAGAAGAATTGGCCGAAACTTTAATTCCGTGGCTGCTGGATGCATCCAAGAAAGGAACACGAATATTTCTTGGCGATCCCGGAAGGCACGGCCTTACAAGTAACTTAAAGAAATATCTTAAACTTTTATGCCGATATAAATTGCCGGAAAACACACGGAAGGAAAATAATGGTTATCATGAAGTTTGCGTGTGGCAATTCGTTAAGTAGCTCCTTAAATAGTAAATAATTACGTAAAAATATGTTTAACTTTAAACTTACCTGTTTTGCAAGAAAAGATTCCAAACTTCCATGCTGAGCTATCGATCCTGTGCGAAGAGAAGTAATGTTCGATAGTTTTATTCTGCACTCGTATCTCGATCGATCTGAAAATATATGTAACAAAAGTGTGTGCAGATATCTTTAATATTTCTATTATATCTTACTAAAAAAAAAAAAAGAAAAAAAAGAATGAATCTGCTTACTGTTGTATATTTTCGTTCCATTTTTGCAAGCACACGGTCGTTGTTCCTCTTCGTGATAAGGACATTGTATTATGCAATGTTCACCTCCGCATTCTACAAATAAATCGTTTTATCGAAGTTAGATGTATCCGTGGGAAACATGTTTAAAAAAAGATATTAATTTACCTGTATTCATAGTTTCAAGAAGTTGAATTTCACAATTTCGTCCAACGTAGCCGAAGAGGCAATCACAGTGTACCGCTTTCGCCCCGAGATGTCTATAACGTATGTACAAGTCCTTTAATATGTACAAAGATGATTTGCATTTTTATATGTATATACATGTAATATATACATATATATAATAATATATATATTTTTTTCTTTTTCACTCATACTTGCAATTGCCACCATTTTGACAAATAGAGTTTTGTTGCTCGTCAAAACAAAGCGGTCCTTCGTCACATTTTTCTCCATTAAAGCCAGAAAAGCATTCGCATGTAAAAGTTCTGTGATTAGAAAAACAACGACAATGAAATACATAGATAAAATATTTCTATTTATTTTGAAAAATATTGAAAATAAGATTAAGTGAACGTACGTATAATCTGCAGATAAAAGACAATTTCCAGTGAAAGAACATTCACTAACGGAACAAGCATTTGGATTTGGTTCTTCCTCGGTCATTTGGTATGTGACGTTAAAACCATATACGTCCAAAAGATCGTCCAAAACACGTACATGGTTTCCTTCGAGTCTATCAAGTTCGAATTCTAAGACGAGAAATGGGCGAAAAGTTCTGAACCAACGATGCACGAAAACGTTGCCCTCCGTTACTTCTTCCACCAAACTCGCGCCATAATTCGTCGTTTCTGACTCGTAATACGCGTACTCGGTCAATTTGAGACCTTTATAAACATAAAGCTGCGTCATATAGACGACTATCGAACTATTCGTCGAAGTTATGTCAGAAACATCGATCACCCATCGACACGTTATGGGTACTGGAAAAGCTTTTGGAAAATTTGGTGTTTCTATGATTCCTTTTGGAGCGGTCAGATGATAATTGCAATCTACATTTGCAGCTGACACTCCTATTATACTCGATGAACAGAGATAAAAGAAAAGGAGGAGATATGATTTCATCTTCTTGATCAATCTCAATATGTTTTTTAGTCAAATTTTGCTAGCCTCTTTTGTAATGACAAATATCGAACAATATCGGATTTCGCCCTGAAAGAAATAAATTCCAATATACATATATGCATACATATGTGTGTGTGTGTGTGTATAGCATTGTATTTTTTTCTCTCCTTATTAAAACACGTTTTATTAAATCACGTATGTAGGTAATAATCGAACGTTACCATGGAGTATAAATATTGCTAGATACACTTTCTCGTAGACAACTTTTTCAGCTTTTACACTTTCAAATCCGAAAGTATTTCGAGTTTTCTCGTCATTTGATTCACACTTTGTTTTACACTTAAAAGAGAGATGCGAGCTCTATCGACAACGATACTGATTCTTCCTTTTCCCCTTTTCAAAAAGTCCTACGTAAAAGAACATGAAAGTGTAGGAATATAACTCGTCTCGTAGCTGAGGAAAATGAACGTTATCCCGATGGCGTATTAAAAGACTTTCTACGGAAAATAATGAGCTTTCACAAAATAATGTAGAAATAAAGCAGAAATAAAGGTGGAAACGAATTTAGAATTTTTGAATTTGATGATGATTCGTTTGATACGAGCCACGAACAAGAAGTCACAATTTACAGGGTAGCTGGGCGTTAGTCCCTTCCGTATCTCTGAGCTTTCCGTGCGCAAGCTCTCCCCGACCAAGCATCCCTCTTTTCACCCTCACCACTCGCATATATTTCGAATGAATTGAATAGCGAGTTTTTCTGAAACACGAGGATTCCAATAAGAGCCCATATTATGAATGTATTTAGTTTTAATTTCTCGAAATGTATTGCTCGATCGACATTGCATCTCTTTTTAATTAAATACCTTGTACTAAAAAATATACACGACCAATAAATAGATTTTACGGATAATACAGAGTGTCGAGGTAATTGAATGAGACCAAGCTATTACTAAATAGTATTTATTTGTATAATTAGAAACTCTATGATAGTCTTTAAACTAAAAACTTATTATCTTGATTATCGTTTATGAATTTTTCATTACCATACGAAATTAATTAATAGATGCTATTTCGATTTCAACACTCATTGTCGGCTAAACTTTATCGTCGGGAAGTTTGATAAATATGTATATTTGAATTCTTCGTCCGCTATATTTTGCATTTTGTACATTTCTGTGTATTTCTTATCCTAAGTAGCGTGTGGTACGATGTGTCGGTCGTTTAATCTACGTCGATTAAAAAAAGTCCTTACTCATTCATCAATTCAATGTTTATCACAACCCTTCGAAAATTTGTATAGAACTTGATTTTTCTTTTGTCAAAGAATCTCACATGAAACGGGCTTTAATAATCTGGTAAAGAGATATGTACATACATGTAAATAGACGCATACACGCTCATACGATAAGGCAGTCATTTTTGCCACTTTAATTATATTCGATCAGTAGAACAATATCAATGACAATGCAATCCCACCGTTGATCGTTGCTTTCTCACTTGCAGAAATTTTCTCTACGATATTAATAATGAAAATTGTAGAGTATCGTTGAGAAAATTTACAGTGATATATATATATATATATATATATATATATATATTAATATATATATATATATATATATATTAATATATAATATATATATATATATATATTAATATATATATATATAATTAATATATATATATATATTAATATATATATATATATATATATATATATATATATATATATATTAATCTCGAAAATAATTCACCGTACAAGATTAATATCTAACAACTATTTCCCTTTTTTGTTTTTCGACGATGTTGACAACAGAACAGAAAAATGAAAAAATGAAAAGTTGACGTACTTTAAATAAAAGAACATTTTGGCCGCCAAATATCACTTGTAACACTTCGTAAAATTATTTTACAAAGATATTTTAGTAACATACGAAGTTCAGCTGTTGTAGCTGGAGAACAGCTATGAAAAACGATGGAGTACTGCGTAATATAAGAAGTTATGTATTTATTAGAATATTTAAATTAAAGAGTAACGATTAAGTCTAATCACTTTCCTATGTATATATTACAGATGTCGATTATAGTTTATGTACAACTTTAATGAAAAGGGCAATGGTAATTGATGTATCTTTTCTTTCATGTACGTCGAAAAAGCATTGCCATCTACATAATGTCCAAATATTACATTCTCGTTTGGAATGTTTTCCGCAGGATCGGGATAAGACTTGTACATATTCTTCATGGACTTATTGATCGTGATATCGGATAAATCGACTTCCATAGAATTTAAATCGTCGGTATTCTTAGAATCTGATTGGCTCGTATTTGAACTAGAACTACCATCGTCGTTGGTCAGATTAACATCCTCAACGATGCCGCTATCAGTTTTTTCGCGCTTCGCTATTTTCTTACGTTGAGTAAAAGATGTCTCTTGTTCTGGTTCGCTATCGCTTTCGCTCATATTTGTATATACTTCTGATAAAGACGAACGATGTTCTATGGTCTGACAGGATTGATTTTGCATTTCCGATAGATCGCAGCTCGAATCGATATTATTTTCACTGGTATTAGCTCTTTCTGCTTCAGTAAGTAACGCCTCGCTATCGTTTTCTTTTCTTTCTTCGCTATTGTCATGATGCAGATCAACGGAAGCGACAATATATTGTCCATCGCTGTCGTCGTCATTTGCTTCCTGCCAATGTTGCCTATTTTCACCTTGATGCGGCTGTATGACAGCTCTTACCAACTGTAAGGTCGTTGTAATAGCCTCTCCGGGATGAGTATCTACGTTGAGCAATAAACGAGCTCTTCCTGCAAATTCCTCATCTTCGTCGAAAAGAGCTTCGTCCGATTCTTCGAAAATAGGTATTACAAAACGTTTCAAGGTACGTTGAGGTATACTAGATCTTTGTTGTCTCGGCAGTATAGGTTTTCTGGTCTCCAATTCCGTATGTTGTCGCCAGACATTTTCCCTCAGTCTATGTCTGATTTTATCACGACATAATTCTTGTAAAGATAATGGATCGCATTCCGCTAAAAAATATTACTTTTAGCGTTATTCCTCATTTTCCTTTATTATTTTTCTTTACGTCGATTAAACGCGATCGATTTACTTACGTAAATGGAATAAATTTTGTTCGTCGGACGTAGGCACGATTAAAGGAGCAAAAGATACAGGTAGCATCGTATGATGCGTCCAAGTATTTTCGTCTACTCTTTGAATTCTGAGTAAATGATCTTTGAAAGGCATCACAAGGATTCCTCCAACTCTAACGTACTGTTTGATAAGTGCCTCATGACTTTCCGGGCAAGCTGCACCACAATACACCCTATCGTACTGTCTGCCAGGTACAATGCTTAAACAGTTTCCTATTAAGAATAAAATAGTTTTAGCCATTGTATATATTTAATCTTAATCATTATTTTTTTTATATTACCTTGTACAAATGAAGGCTCACAGAAGTCAAATTCATCCAAAGCTAAAGATTTTTGTTTAAATTCTTCTAAACGCTCATACGCATATTTTAAACAATCCTCGTGTAATTCTATACCATGATTTGTCCCATATTGACCTAAGAAAAGTACAATGATGCGATGAATGTTCAATGAGAATCTGTTGTAATAATAGTTATTTTCTTACTCAATATTAGTCCTGCCATTGTACTAAGATATCCAGTTCCTGATCCAAGATTCAAAAAACTCAATCCAGGCTCCAAGGAAAGACCTTCTATCACCAAGCTGTACACGCATGGAGCCGATAAATGGATATTGCCATGTTTCCAAGCAAGGTCCTTGTACGCGCTTTCCCGATGCGATGTTAAGAAGTAATCAGCACGATCAACGGCTCTGAATACCTGTTCAACTTTCTTTGTTCTTATGTAACCAGATTTCATTAAATTATCTACCAATTCGTCATTGTTTTGTCCACTACTAACTGCGCTTCCCATCTTGATAAAACAATGAGTTTTCTGTTTAACAAAGATCATGTTATTTATTAATCATAAATTTATTACAATATATATCCTATAAAATGCTATAAAACAGTTTATAAATGCTATAAAACAGTTTATCTATGAAGGGATAAACTTATGAATAATAAAGATATTAATTTTCCAAGAAAATTACACAAGGATGAATATATTCCACATATATATGCATTGAGAAGTTATCTTTAAAAATAGCCTTCTAAATTAAAGTATATTGAACCGATAAAAATGTAATGTAGTGTTGTCTTTAAGTCACGCTTAGAAAGAATATTAAATGTATAAGTAAATGGTATGGAATGTAGGTCGCAGCATTCAAAGCTAATAGAGTTCTAAATTTATTCTTTTTTTACCAATCGACGTAATGATAGTAATATGGTAAGGGAAGCAACTGTTAGACTATGTATTTTAACGATTTAACGAAAGAAGAGAGATGGAACTTTTTCTATCGCAAGGTGAAAAAATAAAAAATTTTTGAAGGGAATATATCGTAAAAAAGACAACGTTATATCCGTTGTTAAAGAACAAACGTACATCTAACGTAATTTCGTCCAAGCTTACCCTTGCCAAGTGAGAATACAATTCAATGACGAAGGAATAATGGAGTCGACGTTGTTATTCCGGAAAAAATCAAAACTTAGACGGTCGTATAAGTCTAAACGTTAACATATTATTACGAGTGTACTATGTATTATATTATATGACACGACGCGGTATCATTCTGGCACATTGGGATATACTAATGCACGACTTTTCTCTGTTTTGATAAGCGAAAGGTGCATCAAGTCCATCAGCTGATAGAAGGAAATATATACTGGCTACGCCATTGCGCGCTTTCTGTCTCTTCAGAGAGAGAGAGAGAGAGAGAGAGAGAGAGAGAGAGAGAGAGAGAGAGAGAGAGAGAGAGAGAAAGAGAGGGAAAGGGAGAGGGAAAGAGAGAAGGAGGGGAAGAGAGAAGGAGGGAGAGAAAGAAAAAGAGAGACCAAATGACGATCTGTCAAATATTACTCTCTCAAATCTATTTCTTTTTCTTTTTTCTATATTCTCTTGTTTTTCTTAGAAAAGAATCCAAAAGAAAATGCAAAAAGGAAGAGATCCTTCTTGTCCTATTCCTTTTGAATAATCAGCATTTATAGAGAATTTTTCAAAATCTCTCTTATAATTTAGTGATTGCATTCGTGTTAATCGGCCTATTAGAAGCGTGCATTGTCAAGCGCAGGCGTAAACCGTGCTAGATGAGAGACGGAGAGAGAGAGAGAGAGAGAGAGAGAGAGAGAGAGAGAGAGAGAGAGAAAGTTATTAGCGACGTGCGAGGAACGGTAAACGAGTCGATTCGATATACATATGTATCAATCGAAAATCATTCAAATACATTCGCCCGTTCTTTTAACGCCGTCATATCATTACTATTTTCGTTCTCGATTCATTAAAATCTTTGAAATTAATTCGCTCATCTTCTTTATCACTTCGATACGTAGTTTGGTTATACACAGTGCATATACGATGCGTCGGTGACGCTCGATAAATTTGAAAAGCGCACGCATTTGAAGGTCGATATTTATATACTGTACATATCTACATATCTGGGTGTATTTTCTCTCTCTCTCTCTCTTTTTTTTTCTTTTCTTTATAAAATAAAATAAAATACTACCAGGATTGTTTCAATCGCGCGCGTACACAATTTTTATCGGATTCGTGTCGATATAGAGAGATAATATACTTGACAAAAGTTCCTCTTTACTTTTATTGACTTTTACAACGTTAGAATAACAAAAGGAAAATCGATATAATATTATAGTACGTATTCATTGAAGGTAATACATGTGATTTTGTTTCTAATTTCAATTTTTTGTTTTCTTTTTTCTTCTTTTCTTTTTTTCTTTTTTTTTTTTTTTTCAAAATGTTATATATCAATGCATGGATCTTGAACGTCAGTCGATGATCTTATAAAAAGTTGGCAAAAGACGAAGATACTTTTAATGCGAACGAATTGTAGATCAGTTTATTTTGCGCGAATAAAATTCTAATTAAGGTAATACATGTCAGGATTTGACAGATATTTAACAGAAAAATAAAATACAGACAAATGATCTTGTTGTTTTACATCTCCGTGGATGGTAACTCGTACAAATGTGAACGAACCTTCGTAGCAGAAGCAACATGGGTTGATGCGCATGCGCTTTCGAAATAATATCGTTCCTTCTCTCAGATGATGGCGACTGACAACTTTAAAACGTGAGTTTATAATCATATAATTTCTTACATCTGTAACGTGTCGTTATAGTGTAAAACGTTGCTCTATGATTATGAGATATCGAGCATTCAGTCGAGTTCATTGAAATTAAGTGAAACGTAAGCATTGTCAAATACAACGTTAAATTTTCGGCTGGATTCGTTAGGTCAACATTCGTTTACTCTCGTAAGTATATATGTATGTACATGCGTGTATAAAGCTTAGCGTAACTTTGCACATTGAGCTTTGTAAAGTACAAATAATTATTAAACTATCGTATAACGAGGAAAAAAAGAAAGCATGCATGCTCGTGTTTGCTAGTATTATTTTTTTATTCTGCATCTTTAACGATAGTACTTTGTGTTTGCACCTATTTTTTGTTTTCAACAGCGTCCATGCATGCACGATCGTAACCATGAGTTTACAACATTGCAACTATTGCAATCGATTATTCATTAATGACTTATCGAACATTTCATTTGTAATAAATCACAAGTTTGTTATATCATGTGTATATATATATATATATATATATATATATATATATATATATATACATGAAAGATGTAGCCTTAAAGAAATTTTCTTAAATTCGCGTGAAAATGTATAAATGTTTCTTCCTTTCACGAATTGTAACATTTTTAACGACATAGCGTGATTAAAGAATTTATTTTTTGCTAAGGCGGCTAAGATGTATAAATATATATATATATATATATATGCACACGTGCATACGTGCGTGCATGTGTGTCCGTGATGGCATGCATGTGCACACGTGTGTACGTACGTGCGTGCGTGCATGCGTGCATAAGTGCGTGCGTAAGTGCGTGCGTACATGCGTGCGTAAGTGCGTGCGTGAGTCATGTGCGTGTACGTACGTGTACGCATATATATTATGTTTATCGTATAAATTTGTACCATTCCGCAATAGTACTTTTCGATACTTTTCTTACCTCGATTTGACTTATCTCGATTGTTCTGCGTTTTTACATTTTCAAAAGTAACTCGATCGTTGTGTCACATCTTAATATATGTTATTTTTACTTGAAATCGTTAAAATGGAATAATATATAGTCACGTGCATGCGATATTCTCAACTATCGATAGGGGTTACAGCGTGTTCCTCATAATCGATAGATGCATTCTTATTCATGATGCCGAACGCACATTTTGGAGGTTATTAGAGAAAAGTTCGCCGCATAGAAAATATAAATTTCATCGATACTCATAAATCATCTTCACAAGCTCGATTTTTCTTATTTACTCGAAGAGAATTTACTCGTAGTGTGATTATAGGTTTCGAAGGAAAATATTGATCGTTAGAATCTGCTATACATTGACAGAGAAGCTTCTTAAAGGCACGAGAGTTCGAAGAAAGTAGAATTTTTTTTCGATAAACGTAGGGTATGGTTAACCAATCGAATCACGTCGATAAGAAATGTTACGTCTGTTTATACTCGTTTACATCGCTTTATAAATATATTGTTAAAATGTATTATTTCATGAATTATTTTTATAGGAATGGACGGATACGTATGTACTAACATAAAGTTGTAAAAGTGCAGTATGTCAAGAAACGGATCGTCTTGTTAATTTGTAATAATTCATTGATAACGGCGAAATAATAACTGGATCTAGTAATGGTTTCGAACAAATAGATTGAAGATATAATTTTGATGGGACAAGCATAATTTTTCCAATTTATTTATTATGCTTTGTTATTCGAATAAATGAAGAAAGACAAAAAATGTTCAATATCGAATAGAGCGAGTCGAATAACAAGTGGAAATGCGTCCGGATAGATTCGTGGGAAAAGAATAATGAATTTATGGCATAAGGTATATTTGAAAATGTCGTCCTGTCTTCTAATCGGTCCAAGGGAATTATCAAATATTTAATAATATCGACGAAATTATCGAATTGTGGAGGAGCCGTTGTCGATCATCGATCATCGAGCAAATGGATTCAGAACTTTACTTGAAAATTGCTTTCACTTGCAGTAAATATATGTGGTGTGCGTTGGTCAGGGAAGAGGTGGGAGTAGAGGATGAGGAGGAGTTAGAAAAGTTGTTCGATTGGTTATTACCGTCGGAGCGTCATACCTTATTTGCGTCGCGATAGGTTAGGTTCGCATGGCTTGCCGCGCCGTTGCTACTATGCTTCGAGCCTATGAGGATATAGCGCTGTAGCGTAGAGAGGACCAAAGCTCGAATGCTTAAAAGATAGGTGCGGGGTTTTCGTTAAAAACCGTGGTTTGTGCGATAACTTCCTTCTCGATTCTATCCAGAGAAAAAATCATTTTAGAAAGATAAGATCTTTTGTCGCGAAGGGATATCTCTCGGTCGATCCTTTCGTTCTTTCGTTATACCAGTGAAAAGTGTGCGTCGTGCATACGTACGTGCGGGCTGTACTGTTGAGAGACTCGCTCATGATACGCGACGGACGATTTGCAAAAGTATTTGAATGAAGGCATACTTGGCGCAGGAATCACGGTGGTACGTTAATCGTGGTTTATAAGTATCACCGCAGACACGGGAAGAAAATTTATTTTTTAAATATTTGCGATATTTCAAAGTGTGAAAGAAACGTAACTGTGCTCTCGGCAATAATAACTGGGGGCGCGTGTTTCAAATTGCTTTACTTGCTAGATCCGACGCCCAGTCATGTAATATTGTCGGAAGAACGATTTTGTGAATTAAGTGCAGAGTGCAGTTTAACTATAGTTACTCCTTAAAAATACGAAACTTATTACATATCCGTTCTAACGCAATTAATTGGAAAATTATGTAACTAGGAAAAATTGAATTTCCTTATAGGAACGACTTATTAGGAGGTATGCCACATTTGCAATACATGCCATGCAATACGCATGCAATACGCATGCTATCAATTTTAATTGTTATTTTATTTTATTTTACTTTTTAATTATTCAATCTCATTTCTACAGTCATTTTCCTGTTTTTCTTAACTCTTTCGTGCCCGAAGACGTGTCTATAAATAATTATTGGACGAGTAAACGATTAATATCAATGAGAGGGTGTTATTAATTCTGCTTGTTTCTCTAGAAACTTTTATTGGTAATTTGTGTCCATCGCTTGACTATCATTTTCTCATTACCAAACATGATTAACAATGAAATATTTAAGGTGATTAATATAATATACATGTTAATAGTGGATTCTAAATCTGATCAACATACATAAATATAAATATATATAAATATATATATATATATATATATATATATATGTATGTATATACATATATATATATATATATATATATATATATATATGTGTGTGTATATATAAAAAATGTTTCTTATCCATGAAAGATCTGTTCGTTTGTAACATTTTTTTTTATACATTTTCCGTTGTTTACAGAATGGACGAAGAAATAGTAGTTGACGACATAGATGATAATAGTATAACAGAATCGCAATTGGACGATTCTACTACTCCAGTTATGCCTCTATTATACATTCAACAGGGCAAAATGCGTTCTGGCCAGACAACAGCTGCAAATCAGACGCTTGTTTCACCTACTGCTACTCAACTTGCTGCCATTATTAATCCTGTCAATAATCAGGTAATTCTTTACACCTCATATTAATTTATATTTCATTAAAAATTATCATTTTATTATTTCAGCTTTAGTATTTTAATTTGTTTTATTACATAAGTAAACCAACGCAATGAGTGTTACTCGTTTAATTCGTAGACCTCTGCAAATTGCATATATATATATATATATATATATATATATATATATATATATATTGCGGTCTAGAATTTTTCTTTTGACTCTATTACATTTTTGCAATATAAAAAGTAATAGAAATTAATAAATTGTGAAAATATATTAATATGCAAGCTCGCATAAGCATGGCAGACTTTGAAGTCTTATTTTAATTTCCATGCCTATAGGAAAGCTAGCTTCTCACCACAATAAATATTGATTTAGTTGTTTGTTGAATAAATTGAAAGGAGAAAAATGCAGCTATTAATCGAATAATTTCTCTCATTTTGCGCTACCTGTATAGTTTAGTTACTACTCATAAGAGATGTTTTAATATTAAAATTGTATTAATATTAAAATTCTCTGATAGAAGGATATAATATGGGCTATGTAATATCTTTAAGAATATAATATCTTTGACACGCAATTTTTAATATATTTCAGATTGTTACCGGACAAAATAAAGTATTTATACAAGGGCCAGGTCAGGTTACCACTTCTCAAAATAAGCAACACATTGTAATTCATCGTCCAGTTAATACAGTTAATACAACAAATGCTGCGCAAGGACAGAAACACATATTACTTAGAAAATCAAATACGTCTACCGCACAGATAGTACCCTTGAATACTTCTCAGGGTAATCAGACGAATCCTCAATCGGGAAAGCATACATTTGCGTACCTTGGGACTCTTATTAAGCCAAATAAATCGCGCGAATCTGTTGTAATCCCAGCAGGTAATTATTTATTTAATATTGTCACAGTTTTATATACCGTAAGTGCTATCTAAGTTTTATAAATGTTTATTTCTCTGTAAGAATTAGCTGAGTGAATTGTGAGGAAGGATGTAATTTGAACTTTGTTAAAACAGGAGCCTTAACGACTACTCAAATAACTAAGCCAAAGCTAGTTATCGCCCCAGTTATATCGCAATTGGCACAGACATCGACAAGTACGACTGCTGGCTCGCAAAGTCAACCACCTAAACATATGACGAATTTGTTATTACCTGTTAGCATTCCCCAACAAAGCGGACCTGCCAAATCGAGCATGTTTAATTTGAAGATCAATAACGGCCAAATCAGTACAGACAGTAAGGGAACGATTACAGGTAACACATTCCCATATATACCATGATAATAATGGTAATGATGGAATAAAGGAAAAATTAATACCTTTTCATTTTATTTCATATTTCAGTTTTAAGGGAATCCAAAACAACAAACTCAACTACACATCCTCCACCATTGCATCCAATAGCAAAAATGAGTTTATTAAGTGCGAATAAAGGAAACAATAATTCTACGGATAGTATAAAGATTACGGAAAATCCGGATTCGGCGGTTATTACGCCTATACCTAAAAAGGACGATACTACGATGCCGGAAAAAAGAAAAAAAACAATAAGTAATATTTTAAGAGGTTCTAGTGAAAAGCGATTAAAGAAACAAAAGCCTTCGCAAGAGACTATGGCTGATGTTACTTATTCGCTCAGTAGTCCTGAGTCTGAACAGGATAAAGATAAAAAAGTGCAAAACGATGATGACATTACTTTGATTAAAGTAATTCCTAGCGAAGACAAATCAATGAAATTAAATACGAGCGTAGACGATGACATAAAAATAGAAATAATTAAAACCCCTACGAGTTGTACAGTTGAGCCTATGTCGGAGAATAAAAACGAAATGAAAATTAATCACGAAGATATGAAGGATCACTTCAATGTTTCTCAGCAAAATGATTCCAATTTTGATGCTGCTAAAGCATTAGATTGGAAAGATGGCGTAGGTACCTTACCAGGAAGTACATTAAAGGTAATTCATAGAAACGAAACGGTAACGAATTTACCAATCTACTTTCCATTCGTTGAAAAAATATCTTTGCAAATGGCGAAAGAAAAATCATTTTATTATTGAGTTTAGTATGAAGTATTAAGTAAATCCTAGGCTTTGTCAAATTTCAATCTTAACTTTCGGTATAATATATATATATATATATATATATATATATACATAATGTGTACTTGTTGTGTCTGCAGTTTTGTATGAATGAATTTGGGATTATGGAAGTCGTCGAAGAGGATGAAACAAGTAAGCAGAGTAAAGATGGAAATATTGGCGATAAGGAAAACGTATGCCTAATGCAGAATTCTTCCAAATCCAGTCTCGTTATGACCAACAACGCAATTAACGAGAAAAAGGGTAAGTAGGAGAAAAGGGATCTTATTACAGTGATAGATACAATTTACCAAAGGATTAAATCGTTGAACAGCCGAAGATCGGAAAACTAGAGCCGTGTCCGCCGATACCGTCTATCACTGCGAGGGTTGTGGTTGTTATGGCCTAGCTGCAGAATTTGAAAGTCCAATCTCTTGCAGTCCCTCGTGCACGGAGATAATAGAATCTAAGAAGCAGCCTTCAATACGAAAAGAGAAAGATTTAAAGTATGTGTTAGGTCGGCTTATTTTCTTTCTTTTCATACATTGAACGTTATTCCTTTGATTTTTCCTGTATGTGTGTGTGTGTGTGTGTTTTTTTTTTTAGAGATTTGCGCGTAAAGCGAAAACGAAAAAGATTGTTACAAGAACAACAGCAAGCAAAAGAAACGGAAGAAAAATTTGATGAAAAATTGCAGGAGAAAGTAAAGTCTGAGACGGATGAGGATACTAAGGACACCATCGGAGGGATAGACGACGAATGTCAGGGAATAGATTCCTCCGAATCTAAGGTAAGATAAAACACATATTAAATAAAGGATTTCCTTTTGCGCTAAATCGTCGGGTTTTAATGATTTGATCATTTTTCATATATAGTTTCCGTGGCAAACTGGGAAACTTGGTTTCTCTTGGCCTAAATATCTCGAACATTGTAAAGCCAAGCCTGCACCCGTTAAACTATTTAAGGATCCATTTCCATATGGCAAAAATAATTTTAAAGTCGGAATGAAGTTAGAGGGAATAGATCCTGAACATCCATCCCGCTATTGCGTCCTTACGGTAGTCGAAGTTGTAGGCAAGTGATCAACGCGTTTTTAATCGAAGAACGATTTAATTTTTACTTTTTAATTTTCTCCACTCGGTTATAATTTAATCAATCTTACGTCATTTTTGCAGGCTATAGGATACGTTTGCATTTCGATGGTTATCCAGAGAATTATGATTTTTGGGTGAACGCGGATAGCATGGATATCTTTCCAGTTGGATGGTCCGAGAAAAATGGACATCGTTTGGATCCACCGAAGGGTTATGTACCCAATAATTTCAATTGGAACGCCTATCTTAAAATTTGTAAAGCTCCTGCAGTTCCAAAAAATGTATTTTCCAATAAAAGTGTAAGTATCATCAGTTTTCTTTTTTTTTTTTTTTTTTTTTCTCTTGTTTTCTTGTTTTTGGAATAGTCGAAACACAAAATGTACTAATAAAAAAAATACTTCAATGGATTTTAGTCCGTTTTTCCAACTGGATTTCGCGTGGGTATGAAGCTGGAAGCAGTCGATCGTAAACACTCGTCTTTAGTTTGCGTAGCTAGTATAGCGTGTTTAATGGATTCTCGGATTTTAGTCCATTTTGATTCCTGGGACGAGGTATATGATTATTGGGCGGATGCGAGTTCTCCGTACATTCATCCCGTCGGATGGTGTCATCATAATGGCCATAGTCTTACTCCGCCCAACAGTACGTATCCATAACGTATACACACTCGTATGTTTTTTCGAGCTTATCCGCGATAAAGATAATGCAAAGTAATAAGCAAGCGATATTTTTTTTTAGATTATAAAGATCCGAAGTCCTTTACATGGGACACTTATCTAAGAGAAACTCATTCAATGGCAGCACCAGCTAGAGCTTTTAAACAACGACCACCTTGTGGATTTAAGCGCGGTATGAAATTGGAAGTAGTGGACAAAAGAGTTCCTCAACTTATTAGAGTAGCCACTGTCGAGGATGTGAAGGATCACATGTTAGTATGAAATATGTTTATTTGATGAAAGGAACGTTGATACAATGCTTTATGTTTCTAGGTTGAAAATACGTTTCGATGGATGGCCAGAAAATCACGCTTATTGGATCGATGATGATTCTGCGGATATACATCCGATGGGATGGTGTCTAAAAACTGGACATCCATTAGAAGCACCATTAAGTAAGATAAATAATTTTCTTAGCGTAATTAGTCGAATAGCAGCTTAAAATTTATATTATAATTCTTCGTCGTTTTAACAGCGCCGGATAATTTAAACGATAGGCCAGAATGTGGTACATATGGGTGTCGTGGTATAGGACACGTAAAGGGTCCTAAATTTGCCACCCATAATTCAGCGTCTGGTTGTCCATATTCACCTCAAAATTTGCATAAAGTTAGGCAAGTGTCCGATAGATTGAATATAAAACACGAGACCTGCGATTTCGACGAAGAATCGCAGGAAAAATTAAAAGTCGACAAGATTGATAAATTGAAAACGGATAAGTTTGAAAAGTCTGAAAAAGTGGAAAAGACGGAAAAAATGGAGAAACTTTCATCCTCCGAAGAACGCTTGTTGAAGACTGAAAAAGATGTCAAACAAGAGGATGGAGAATCTGATAAAAATGACAAGTCGGAAAATTCTGAAAGGTAAATATTTTGCGTTCGTTTTTGATTCCGAAACGAGTGCTTCATGCGATTACCATGAATATGTACTTATGTCGTACATATATTTTTTTTTTTTTTTAACAGATCGAGCAAGTCGAAAAATCATCACAGTGACGGACAAACGGACGACGATGAGATTTCGAGAAAACGAAAGAAAAGGTTCGTTATAAATTTCATTGTGCGAAATCATCCATTATATTATTCTCTTAGTCAATGTATATATATATATATATATATATATATATATATATATAATACTTTGAAAGTAAATTATTCGTCATTTTGTTTGTAGACGGCCAATTTCCGATGATCCATTATATACCATTTCAAATTCGACGTACAGTGACGCGGTTCTGACTGCCATTCCATATGCTGCCAATATGCCAGATAAACAATTGCGTACAGAATTATATCAATCTGTTTATAATCCTGGTTACAATCCGCTACCAGACGCACCGCACATATGGGCAAAACATAGTAACGCTTTAAATAGAGTTGTATCGAAGCAAAATACAAATCCTCGTCGTTGGTCCAACGAGGAGGTGATTAAATTTATTCAAAGCGTACCTAATTGCAAGGAAATCGGTAATATTTTCAGGAAACACGTAAGTTTTATCAAATATCTTATGAACGACTCTAAATTCCGTTTAATTCTTATTTTTACTGAAATGTATTTGTATTTTCCTTTCTTTTTCTTTTCTTCTTCTTTTTTTCTTTTTTTTTTTTTTTTAATTTTTTTTCTTTCTTTTCTTTTTTTTGTAGAATATTGACGGAGAAGCATTTTTAATGCTCACGCAAGAAGATTTAGTATCGCTATTAGGTTTACGCTTAGGACCAGCAATAAAGCTTTATAACAGTATAGTTTTATTACGTCGGAGGGCCACGTGAATATTTTGTTGAAAAGAAAATCAACGAAACGACGACGAAAGTATTTCCCACAAGAGAAGAGGAGAAATAAAGTTTAAGGGGAAAAGTTGTTATTAAAATGAAATTAATTATTTATTAATGAGGTTGTCAGAAATTTCTAAGGGAACGGAAATTTCTTAGGTTCGTGATTTTCTTTGTAATTGGTATATATTTATTTCAAATTTCGAATTAATTTTTTTTACAAATTATACGAAAGGTCAAATATCAATCGTGCGATGGGAAAAATTTTACTCTTGCGATTTGGATCGATGATCGCATCGAGTCATTATAATATAGTTCAGATATCTACGCATGACAAGTACTTACAATTGTCCATTATAATTTTTTCGTATATTATCAAGTGAATTCGATCATGTACAAATGTAAATATAATCATCTTAATAATTAATTATTGTAATAAGAAAGAGACTGTTTAAATCATTGATTCTTATTTTTCTGATTTCCAGTTATAATGGTCCCATTTTTTTTCTCGTTACTTTTTTAAGTCTCCTTCGAAATTGTGGATAACAGAGTGCGATGTTATCGGCAATCGTTCGAAACATACGGCAGAACAATTGTGTATTTTGTTCGAAGCTCGGTAGTTCGATGGCAGCACTATCGACCTTGTGGTATCATGCCTAGTACAACGTTACTAAAATATGCCCATATGATATTTTTTTTTTTTTATAACGTGAACGGTATACCTATCGATGAATTAAAATCGATTACCGAATTCTTAACGATCGATCGTTTGCGTTCATAAGCGTATATCATAAGATATTAAAGGAAAATGATGTAATAATGGCGTATTTAAGTTATCACTCGTTATTGCTATTGTCCATCATTTTTCGTGATACAAGGCTGCTACGATATAAAAATTAAAATTATGAAAATTTGTTAAAAATCGGTATACCGATTGTAGGGAGGATACGCGTAACCCCATTTGCACGATTAACGCTCGGCAGGTTGTTATAATAGCGTTGCGGTCGCGCGCCTCTGCCCCTCCAATGTTACCCCCTCCCCCATGGCGACGGCGAGCCGGCCGGCAAGTGGCAGGCAAGGGGATGTTTACGGCGTAGCCACGGGGACGGACGGCCGTCCATGTGTTTCAGTCGAGGACTCGTCGTCCGCGTGAACGTACACGCGATTGATTCTTGCGTTCGGTATATCGTCGTCTCTTTCGAATTTTATTATTATTTGCGATCGTTCCCGAGCTTCTTACGAAAAGACGCAATGCGTTTATCTCGACGAAATATTAACGGAGGAAGTAGGAAATAAGAGAAAGTGTATATCGTTGTATATTTATTGGTTCTAACATGAGCCAAAAGACGCCGATCGAGTAGTAAAAAATTGGTCAAGTTCGATCGAAATGTAGACGCAGATTGATCGAATGGTTTTACTTCGAAGCTGTTGCGCCGGTATTTTTAGAGAGATAGAGAGAGAGAAAAAAAAGAAAAAGAAAACGTCGTCGGTGGTACCTTCGAAGCAGCGAAAGAGGAGATGGCGGTGACAAGATAAGATAATGGGAAGTTTCACGGCGAGGACGAGGACGACAAAGGTGGAAGATAGAAAGAGAGGAAGAGGTGATCTTTTTCAAAGTGTGTTATGTCCTGCGTGCTTTCGTCGACGGGACGAAAGGAGGAGCGTCATGCGGGCTGGTGTTTGTCGTTGAGGAACGACGCGAGGGACCGAAGGAGGAGCATCGTCGAAGTGTTGGTGGTGGAGGAGGAGGAGGAGGAGGAGGAGGAGGAGGAGGAGGGGGAGGGCGAGGGTGAGGGGGAGGGCGAGGGAGAGCCGGCGAAGCAGCAGGGGGCCGAGGAAAAAGGGAGCTTGGAGGTAGCCGGTGACGGGGGTGGTGAGGGCGCCGGTGGTTCCTCGCAAGCTCGTTATTCTTCCAAGTACGAGGTGCGCAAAAGCCATATCGTTGATGCGAGGATGCCTCGTGCCGTGCCAACGAGACGAGGCCTGCAGGCTTTGGCCCTCGTACTTGCTACCGCCTATGTCACCATTCTTCTATATCAGGCAGTGGCACCTCGTCAGGTTAGGACACGATCGATCATTCTTTTGTCCTTTATTATCGCGCGAGATATTCTCCTCGAGATGCCCCTTTTGTAGAAAGGTAAAGACGAGGTGCTAAAAAAGAAAAGAAAAAAAAAGAAAAAGAAGAATGCAAAAAGCTAACGAACGAAGCGCACGGCGCAGTAACATTTCGATTCGATTCGATAGCAATCAATGCTCCCATTGTTTTGTTCTTTGCAGTGGATCGAAGAGATGAGCAGCGAGGTTAATGGTAGAAACGAGCCGTTGATCGAAGTATCGGCAGCGTCTAGAAGGATCGTAATCGGCGAAGGAGGATCGGCTATGACACCACCGCTCGCTACGGCCACGATGGTACCCTTCTCGACGAATCTGGATGATGTGTTTATCAGCGTTAAAACTACCAAGCACTATCATCGTTCTCGTTTGCCGGCCATTATTGGCACATGGTTTCAATTTGCCAAGGATCAGGTACGTATCGTTGCGCTGCAACGTTGACGGACGCGTTATGAACGGAGCCAAGCGCGTTTATCGTTTACGTATTTAGAGCCTGGGAATTTGTCTCTTCTCGCGAATATATTCGGCATGGAATAGACGTTACTTTGTGCGCGTACTCGCGCTTACTCGAGCGTATTCGCAGATTCGAGGAGACGCGGACAAGAGCGGAATTGTCGTTCATCTCGCCAACGAAAATTTTATTTTCCCACGAGTCCGTTTTCTTTGGGCTAACTCTCTTCTTACTCGTACACGTGTTCGTCCGCCTTCTGAACGGATCGCGTATTTCGTTACTATGTATTTATTTGCCTTACCTATCGTTAATAACGATAAGGTAAACGATTAAGGACGAACGCAAGGACGAAAGAGAGCGTCAAACGCGAGGGATTTCTTTCTCGAGAATCGACGCAAGAACGAACTTGCCGATATTATCTCGGAACGGCTAATTGCGCGTATTGTAAATGCTTCTCTTTGCTTTCTACCGCTACATGCCGTTTCCTAGAATAGTCCTTAACCCTAGAGAGATGGCAGGCGCGAGCCCTTCTTACATCCTACAACGAAGAGAAAGGGAGAGAACGCTTTCGAGAGATTTACGGGCGAAAAACATTAGAGATAGCTTGCCTAGAGAGGTAGAGCTCGCATAGATCTTCAACGAGAGAGAGAGAGAAAGAGAAAAAGAGAAAAAGAAACGAAACGCCCTTTTCCTTGTCTTCTTATTTCCTTCCTTTCTACCACGAATTACGTCTATTGTATTTACCAGCTCTTGTACATCGTTGAAGGTTCTCGTTATTATTGTACGTTTACGAGAATTACGTTGAAAATTCTATCTTCGACGTGTCTACGTATTTTTTTCTTTTTTTTTTTTTTTTTTTTGCGTTAAAAGGCCTACTAATTCTAATTATTTCAACGTATACCACAGAAAAGAAGTCTAGTTTTGTTAAATGCTTACCAAGGACGCGTTTAATTGTCTTTCATGCTCTTAATGAGACGAACTTTGAGAACGGTTCGGTTGCTTCGAATCGTCTTTGCTATTAGAGCCTTCGTTTAGCGCGTAACGCGAGAACGTAATATGAGATTCGTCGTCGCCTCTTCAACTAGAAAAGTGCCCCGCTCATTACGACTGATAACGCGACAAATTTTCCTACCGTAACTCTTCTAACTAGAAGAGTTATTTATAATACTAACGTAGATAGAACGCGCATAAACTTTTTTTTTCGTTTTTCCCATTAAATTTCGGCCGCACAGAGCAAGTGGGTAAAACTATGTAAAGGCGTTCGAGTTGTACGGTTCACCCTGTATATAAATATGGGCCGCAGTCGAATGGAATCCGAGGAGCTCGAGTGAAATTCGAGGTAACAGCCAGCTTAAGGCTGCCACTTGATGCGCGACGAAGAAACGATCGGCAACGTGCACTTTGCTGTGCGTGCACTATTCCTCGCTTCTCTTCGCTCGGTTGGTATACTTGGTTGGTATACTTTCGGACGAATTAGTTTAAACTCGATTGGCGCCAGCGAGGAAAATCGTCGACCAAATTTTAACTGTCTGCTCGACGATGCGTTTTTCCCTCTCTTTTTCTCTCACGTAATTGGTCGGATGTCCTAGACCTCTAGAGAACCATCAGCCTTCCGTCTTTTACTGTCTGTTTGTCAGCGCCTGTCTCTCCCTCCCTCCCTCCCTCCCTCTCTCTCTCTCTCTCTCTCTCTGCCTGCCCCTCCACGGGAGCTCGAACTAAAAATAGGCGTCCATTTTAACACGTGTACTCATCTTACGTTTCTCTCGTAGTAATCGTAAGGACGCGAACTCGAAGAAAAAAAAAAAAACAAAGTCTCGGAGCGAAGAATAATATCACGAGAGAAATATTGTTTTTTGCTTTGTTACAGACATGGTTTTTCACCGATCGAGAGGATCCATACTTTCAGAATCAAACGAGTGAGTATTCTTCGAGTAATTTTTATCGCAATGGTAGCTTGTCTTTAAATCGATCGAAGAGAAAAATGTATGGATGACAATGGCTTCGACGATATTAACTTTAGAACCGTGTTCTGTGTTTGCCGTGACATCGTTCGGGATACACTCTCCGTCGACGTTTAGGTCGTTTGCACGTTCAAATTCGTTGGTATGCGAGGGAGCGGTATCGAAAGTGCGAAGAAGGATGCGCGGTGTCCATGGTAAAATGGAAACCGGAGGGTAGAAAAAAAAAAAAAAGAAAGAGAGAAGAAATTTTGCTAAAGCGATATAGACGGGCCAGCGGCATGTGTGCATGCGACGTGTTCCGGCATTGCGTGCATTCTGTAAGTGCAGCCTCAGGCCAGATACGCGACTATGGATGACGAAGAGGAGGAGGAGGAGGAGTAGGAGGTTGTGGTGGTGAGGCGAGAGGAAAGATACAAGAGAAGAGAAGCCGTGAGCCTCCTAAGGAAGACGTAGAAAATTTCAAGAGTTCTCGATCGTCGTTGGAAACAATCGCGATCTTAAATAGTTTGAGAGAGAGAGAGAGAGAGAGAGAGAGAGAGAGAGAGAGAGAGAGAGAGAGAGAGAGAGAGATTTACTTTTATTTTACATATATATTTATGATATTCGATTATTTGACTCAGCGCTTGAAAACAAGGCCCTATAAGATCGTTTGTGCATTTTTTCATAATGACGTGCTAGAGAATCGAAGGTAGGTCGTGATTGGATCGAAGAAGGAAGAAGAAGCACGCGAGCCCTCGGGGATCGTCCGACATTTGACCTCGGCACGCGCAGCATGCTCCTTTAAGCGTTTGCCTCATTACTCCTTCCAATTACATTTTTCGTCCGGTTCTTCCGTTCGTCGTTTTCAAATATAAGCTTACCTAATTTCTTTTTTCCCCTTCACCAAAAGCATCACGAATTTGGAGGATTCTCTTGAATTTAAAATCTATGATTTCAGATGGTCACATGATCGACACCAAGTGTTCGTCCTCTCACAATAGACGAGCCCTTTGCTGCAAGATGTCCGTCGAGTTTGACAGATTTCTCGATAGCGGCCGAAAGTAAGTAAACGATTTGAAGCGATCGATGAGCTCAACGCTTGTTTATGTATAAAACGCGTCCAATTAATTCGATTACTAACGCCTATCATCGAACGTTTTTCATTTGCCGTGTTGTCGTCCTGCGTAGGAAGATTAACTGGATGTCGTTGACGCTAATCGTTATTTCCTGTTCATTTACTCCCATACTCTAATCGAGCTTACACGTTTTATCGATTCAACCAGATATTACTTGTATTAGTACGTACAAGTCGATGAATATGAGATACCGTCCGCACCTAATACGCGTGCCAAAGTGAAAAATATTCAGACAGCCATTCGACAGGTAGAAATGATTAACAGAAAAGCAGATTAGCGCGTAATCGAGCCAATTCGAGCGTCAATATCGTCGTCGATCGTATTCGTCGCCAGAGCGGATCGGAGCACGCGTACCGCATAGCTTAATAGGCTAATACGAATTAATTATTCTACTTATCCTCGTAGAGATAAATCTTGTTGTACTCGCCAACCTGCTCTTAGATAATACATACGGTTACGGTTGCGAGGATCTCGTAGAGAAATCTAAAAGACGATGGCTTGTTTCCTTTTCCTTTTTCTTTCTTTTCTTTCTCTTTTCCTTTTTTAAGTGCATTTTCAAGTGCACTTCCCCATTCTTCTCTCGTTTCTTTGAGTTTCTTTTGGTCGATCGAACATTAGCCACAGGGCAATAACTTTTCTACGTTCTATCTCGCACTCGAGATTTATCCGTTCGCGGAGAGAAGAGAGAAGAGGAACATTGGACATTCGGTATTATCGACGTTGGAACGAAAGGAATCGTCCTTTTTGGATCGTATCTTCGACATCGATACAGGCTATTATCGATACTCTCTTCGTTATATCTCGAGTAGATACCGTTTCGTCCATTATCCGAACCGATATGATTCAAACTTGCGACGTGCCACCTAACACACTCTGGCTTCTTTTACCTTTGCAGATAATCTAATAATATAATGGCAAACTCGTTCTGCCTTTATCATTACTACCGCATGAGTACTTTATTCCATGTGTTTGTAGCTGAACGTAAATTCTATTCTATTATCTTTCTCTCTTTCTCTCTTCTCTATCGGGGATCGATAGGGAGAAGAAGAGAAAACGAAAAGATGACGATCGCGAGGTGGATGAGGATTCCAGGGGCGGGGGGAGGGAGAGAGAGAGAGAGAGAGAGAGAGATGCAACTGCCAGATTACGCGGACAGGTAGATAGATGGGTCCCATTATCGGCGTAGCCGCATTAAACGCTTCTTTATATAGCTGTACATCTATAGGATTTACGAAGCACGTGAGATCTCCTGGCCCGACAGGAAGATACTTATCTCGACGCTCGACCGTGAGGCTCCGCCTAATTGTTTGCTCTTGCTACGTCGATCGGTATAGTCCCCTTTGCTCGCCGCCGGACCGCGAACTACGTTCAATTATCCAACGAGAGTTATCGTTTTTTTCCTTCTTTTTGTTTTTTATTCCTTTTCATTATACGTAATAATATATTAATTGAGTATTTTTTCTCGATTCGTACAATAACGCAGGATCTTTTGTCTCTTGTTCAAGTTATCCTTAACAATGGTAAAAATTGAACAAGTTCGTCGAGCGTAGGAGATGAGAGAGGCCGGAAAAAGGATATTATTCGATGCAACGAAGCGTCTCGGATGTTCTTTGCTTCGCGTCGAGCACATTAGCTACGCCGAGTTTCGCGGTATGCAGCGTGCAAACGGAATCCCGATAGCATCGTTATAATTTCTCTTGCCTCTTATCTCTCGGCAGTCTCGAGCTCTTATTCTTTGGTATTCTCTCTTCGTTTTAACTCGTAGCCGATGGACTCGATATCGTAGCGTATGTAGAACGCGCGTAGAAATCGCGCGCAGGTGTTCACGGGAAACTAACTCGAGAATAATAAATTGAGAAATACGAATGGAATCCGACTTTGAGTTATGCTTTCCTATAAACGGATCCAAACCTAACATCGCAAGCCAAACGTTCTCTTAGAAAATCATTCCAAATGTTGAGATTATGACGTCTTTGAAACATTTTACGGCATGCGTATCGAGTCATATTCCTTGAGATATACCATTATGTATTTACTCGATCCTATTTCTAGTAGTCGTACGTTTTTCACTTTTCTTTACAAACGAAACGTTATCTTTGAGATTTGTGTTTAGATAGGAGAAATAGAGAGAGAGAGAGAGAGAGACTCATCGAGCAGGTCAAAGTATGCGGCCCTAAAAATATTATCTCTCCTTCTCTTATTTTTTCACTTCTCTCTTGGAAAAATGAACGTTAGAAAAACACGTTTAATGGTCCGTCGTCAACGCGAAGCAATTATTATGGGTCCTCGACGAGGCTCCTGACTTTTTTTTTCTTTTTTCAAGGTACCGCTTTTTCGAATTTATTTTTCTTTTAACGCCAGTTAGTCGTGTCGATAAAAGCATCAGCCTTGCGCCGAACGTTTCTGTCCTCTTTAACGTAGATCCATATATCTAAGTTTATAGATGTTCCTTGTCATCTGTGATTTATCGTTTCATCTATTTAATTATTTCTCACATTGGTCGCGTTCCCATTGCTAAAGATACATACTATTCGAACGTCGAACAGCTTGGACAAACTAACGGGCAGCTAGTCGACGAGCGATCGTTATGAGAAACACGGTATTTCTTCGCACATACATATATATATATATATGTGTGTGTGTGTGTGTATGTGTGTGTGTGTGTGTGTGCGTGTGTGTGCGCGCGCGCGCGCGTGCGTGCACGTGACGGAAAAATCGACTAGAAAATAGGAAATATTTCATCGGATATTCGTATAGAAAAGGAAATTTCATTTCACGTCCATCTCTAAAAGTGACATTATAAAAGCCTACGACGCACTTTCTTCGACGCATAAGGCGATATAGTACCTATGAAAAGTAGAAGAAGAAGAAGAGAGTCTCTCGTATATCGGATGCGGGCTCCTTTGTCTTCGTTCTTGATATCCCGCTTTCATAACGTATTATCTATTCGCATTGTTCTATTTATTGCGATACATCGTCACCAATACGAACGGAATTCTTTCATTTTCGTTCACGGCGGTTTCGCTTTGAAGAAGCTAATTTCTAATCCGTGAAGTAATTTTCGCGATCGGCGAATTAACTGTTGCCGACGATATCGGGCATTGGTTTTCGTTGAAGCGCGAAATTCCTGCGGTACTGGTTGCTCCACAGAGGCGCATCGTCCGTTTAAATAATCGCCGACGATTTCACACCTCGCTTCGTCCAATTATACGATCGTTTTACACGCGGACGCAAGGATTTCCGCTACCGATAACGAATGAAAGAAAGATTTATGGAATTTCAAGCTCTACCGTCTTTTAAATCGCTTTAACAACAATTCTTTATGTCGCCTATTGGAGCCGTTTTTCATATTTTTCCAAAGATTCATTTTTACTCGGCGTCGAGAACACCGTAATAAAAAATAATCGTATCTCATCGAAGAAGCAAGCAGCGCATCGAATACGTAATCCGAGAATCGTCTGCCTCTTATTCGGCCCAATTAGTCCTTTCTTAACGAGCGATGCCACCGGGACTTGTTTCTTCGAGTTTAAGTGCCGCTCGTAAATTTGACCAACGGCGAAACTTTCACGAAAGATTCGAACGAGATATCCAAAAGAGAGGGAGATAAGTAGCGAGTAGATATTCTGCCGTGTCATTTATTTCAAAGTTTCTCTCCTCGACTCAACTCGTCTTTCGACTAAATAATCATATCGGATGACGGGTTTAGGTTCTGCTCTTATCGCGTTTCCTGGCCGCTCAATTTGCACGGTAACGTATTTATCGCGTCGTTCAAACAAAACCGAGACATTCCTTTGCGAGAAACACGCGTCCCCTATTCTATCGCTTTTCAACTATGCGCGCATATATCCGAAAGCTTATAGACGCAGTACAAACGCGAGTCAAATATTTCGATAAACTTACTTACTTCGTTTGAAATAATACGCTAAAGGTTACTCTTGCTCTTTGACGAATCGGTGAAAAAGAAAACATACATTCTTTGTTTTCTTTTGTTTTGTTTGTTTTTTTGTTTTTTTTTTTTTTTTTCTTATCGTTCATCGTTCCTGCGTATATCCTCGCGCGAGTTCCTCGACGATAATCAACGACAACGGATGGTCCTCAGGTGCGGCAATTACGACACCGCACGATAGAGATCGCCCAGGAAAGGACAAGGGTGGGGAGAGAGGAAAAGAGGGAGAGAGAGGAGCACGTGCAAAAAACTTGCTCCGCTCTCTTGGTACGGAGTTCCTCGCAACGGTTAACGCTCGCGTGACTGCGTATTATATGTGTGCATGTACGAGGCTACCAGTAATGCCGCATAATAAGCGTTTAGGGACGACGATAGGACCCTCCTTCGTTACTTGCTCCTCTTCTCTCTTTCTCTCTCTCTCTCCCTCCCTCTCTCCCAACCTCCCTCTCCCATTCGCTCTTTCTTTCTCTCTTTTCACTCCTTGCATCCTCTTCTTCTTTCGCTTTTACCTCCCATCCCTAGACCCTGCGGTCTTCGTAAGACCTCTTCGTGCGATGTCCAAGATGAAAGGCGCGCCACACGAGAGACGATAATATTAAGGATATATAGGATGTTGGATATAGGATATGGAAGGGTAAACAATTATTCTACAATTTCGATTCATTTTGCGCATGAAAATATCGCATGATAATTATGAAACCTTCGGATCCTATATTTAGGAACCATTAAGGATACGTATTACGAATTACGTATTAGAATTTATCGGTCTGTATCGTCCAATTCCGGTAGGTATCGTCCTTCTCGAGATTCATTTTAAGCGTTATAGATCGTTCGAGCCGAAAACGAATTTTTCAAGATTCTCGACGCGCGAGACGTTCGAGGGCCGTGGGTAATCACGGTCCTTGGAGAGATATCTCGTTGTCGAGACAGGTCGTGTATGCATGCTTCAGGCTCGTTCACCTCGATCTTTGGGGTAACA